CTTTTCTTCGAGTAGTACCGGAACAAACTGGTGTCTGTAGTCGAAACTCTGCTCCGTGGAGTCTTGGCCTGGGTCGTTTGTCTAAATCTAGTCCAATTTAACCCCAAAAAGAAGCTAAAGAAGCAAAAAGAAGAAGAAGAAATTTTCCGCTAAAAAACACCCTTTGCCGCTCTTCTCTTTGAAAACACTCTCCTTAAAGCCACAGCTGGCATTTGAATACTGGGCGTAGACATATCTTGTGTTTAGTTTCGCGGTATTTTTTTAAAGGAACTAAATAAGCCTCCGTGAAGCTTGGTGTGCTAAGCACGGCGAGACGGTACTTCACTCCGGGGCACCGCTTACAACTCTATAAAGCATATTCGGCCCCACATGAAGTTCTCACCTCTGGGCGGGAGCGCCCCAGGTATTTAAACTTGACCGTATTCAACGAAGACCGTTTCGAATCGTCGTCGACCAGTCACGTTCCGAGCGGCTTTATCCCTGGGGTAGGGTTTTTCTGCATTTTCTACCATATCTAGCATGGAGACTTCTGAGGAGCTGTTCGGATTAATGCCTCGAGCTGGCATTCATCATCGGACGTCGAGGCATAATATGAAATTTCCCCTCCTCAACGTCCGTCTATGTGAAACCATCTGCCCGTTAAGGTATCTCCGAAATAATACGACTTAGGGTCCTTCAAGAAAAGAGCGTACTTACACGGCCGGCAACGCATTCGCGAGCCCTCTGGTATTGAGTATCTATGGTAGTCATTTCTGGCTATCACATATCAGGTGAGGCTCCTGCCTGTTTTAAGCCCCTGTTAAGCCAATCATGTCATCAATATAATAAGTGGTAGTCCTTATCTGTTCGCTTATATCTTGTCACACAAACACGGTTATAATTAATATAATCCAACAGTTTATATTATTCTTTCAGTTGGGATACGAAAAACAAAGTCTGACTACTATCTGGAATAATCTAGTGTTCAAAAACGGCTAAGTAGTAGTTTACTTAGGAATTGTGTTTTCCTTCCCATTTTTAATTGCAAAGCTCCATGTTTGAACTCTTGACAATATTTTAAATTTTTAAAGCTTTGTTTCAACATCCAACTCTAGACAAGAATGTTTTAGTTTTGTTTACGTCGTTACTTACATATACCGCAGTAGATTTAAATATACAGGGTGGTCAAAAAGTCGTGGATCAAACGCAAATAGGGGATAGATGAGGTCATCAGCTGCAAAAAATTGTTCAACGGGATGTCTCTAAGCTCAACCCCTGCAGAGTTATAATTTATTTTGCGTTTTTATAAGAAAATTGACTTTTTTTTCTAGTTCTTATTAAAATTCGAAAAAATCTACATCTTGTATCTTTTTCATAATATTCACTAGATTGGTACTGATGAGTTCTTGCGTTAGACATACTATTTATAGTTGTTTATTGAGTGAATTGAAGATAATATTAAGTTATACGATATAAATTTTTGTCAAATCATAACTTTTTGTTTACTTCGGACCCCACTGTGAAAAAAAATTACTCTACCGAAAAGTGACCCTGTATAACAAGTGGCGCATTTAATAGGGATTCTGAAAAGGTATTACACATGGCCATGAGTCACTCTAATATCTATCTCAAAGCAAAAATTTTCCGCGCTATAATTGTTATGTACCTTATTATGCAAACGCACGTTCGACTTTCATTAACTATTTACATTTAAAAACACATGTTTATTGAACCCTAATATTTACCCTGTTGCGAAAGCAAGCGATGCGCGCGCACCTCATTCACCCGCCCGGGACGCGGGGTGCGGGGCATAGCAATCGCGGGGGAGGGGTGCGGTTACCGTTAGTTTCCGTGTGTTCGCGCGGCCGTCGGGGTGACCGCGCGGCCGATGCGTGGCCACAACGGCCGACCACGACGGAATCCCTTTGGTGGTCCAAGGTGGCCACCATCTCCAGCCACCATGTCGTAACATGATGGGTTACAACAGTCAAGGCCACGGTTACAACAAATTGTTCGCTCAGGTGCGTGCGCAGTGCGTTTTATAAGCGATACTGGAAGATGGGCTTCAGCCGCGTATGGAGTTTCTTGTTAAATCTCGGTAATGTCGGATTACGCTAGGATCCAGGAAGTGGTTTCGAGTATACTTACCAGCTAAATGGCGTACAGTTTGTTTGAATAAGACTTGTTTGTGTTTATCCATCGTTTGTAACATTTGTTCTATCAACTCCTCTGTCGCCTCATCTATTTAGTTGTACATACTACATCATAATCGAATTTGACCCATCGTGTAATAGAATTAATTTGGAGTAGTAATTCCCCATAAATTAAGCAACTCATTGTCCATTCGATGTGGATTGAAGCGATGACGCTATTTAGCCTGGTTTTTATCAGTCTATTATCGTGTCAGTAACGAGATTGTAATGACACTGGTGATTGACGTTGCTTCAGTCAAGTACTCTAATAAAAAAGCTAAGAAAACAATTTGCTCCAACCGTTATTAAAGTTAATATAGAAATCAAATTTTGAATCACTTTCGCCTCATTTTACCATCAGTAATTTTAAAAAAAACTCCATAAACAATGGTTTTGGAGTCGAACCACAGAGAATATTAGACCGTCAATTCTTGTAATAATAGGAATACATTTAATTGGTCCTTCTCAAAGTTGTTCTCTTTTGTTGAGCAGTTAGAATACCAACAGATGCAAGTTTAACCAAGTCCGTTTGAGTCAAACTAAACATTTAACTGACATCAAAACAATAAAGGACTATTAATAATCACGACCAGTTCTATTAATAAAAGTTAACCGCCCGTGCTACAAAGTTAGGATTTCAATAACATACCAAAATATTTAGCTAAAACATTGTTAATCCAAACTACGTCAAACCCAGATAATCTATTTCTAGAGTATAAACACTGATTCACTTTCATCCATAAGTGTATCTATGTTCTATCTTTGGAAGATTATTATTGTTTTTGAAAAATTAACGTTGGTCAATTGTCAATGTCTCTACTTTGACATGAAGACTTTCGTCACTTAACGATTTATAAATCTATTTAACTATGATATAGGCCCCCCTCATAGCCTAGCGGTCTTATTAAGTGGCAGCTAGGTGAGGGGTACCGGGTTCGATTCCCGGTTCGAGGGCAAGTTTTAATTTAATTTAAATTTGTTCTCGACCTTTGGGAGGGTTGTGCGGTACCGGGTGAGTGCTTAAACCGTACATGGAGGACACGGTTGATTTCAAAAGACAAGCACGAATCATAAAAAAAATTCTATACTTGACGCTGGCTAATGCACAAACCGTGCCAGAGCCATAAAGGAAAAAAACTATGATATATAGGTATATTTTATTTTAAATCGTGAGTTTGAGTCGTTATAACAATTTATCATGTAATGTTTTAATAATACAAGAATTTGTGTGTGACATGTTTCAATTGCTCAATCTGCAGTGATTATAAAAGAAGCCTCTGGAATTAAGTTCCTTGGCTGCGTACAAAAACGAGTGTATAGGGAATGGAATGTGGGGGTTGAACATTTAAATGACGTCATTGATATCGCCGCCTGTCTGCCGCCAACCAAACCCTGACCAACAAACCTCTGAGATAATCGATAATACTGGCCGAATAGCAAACTTTTTGTTAACTCATTCAAAATAATACTTTATATTAAAGCACGGAGCTGGTTGCTAAAGATGTTAAAATGTTTTTAATTTCTAGAGTTATCAGCTTCATTATTCATGCGTCCTTAGTGTTTTAGGCTTTGTAATTTAGTATTTGTAGTGCATTCAGTAATTATTTGTTTTTTCTCACACGCTTAAAGCTAATTATATGTATGTTGCTTTTATTTATTGTCGCTTCATTTTTAACACGTCATTAATTCATAATTTCTATTCTCTTTGAAGGTTCTATATATGTTTGAATACTGCATGTTTTTGTATGTACATTGTCACAAACGCGGACCCAGCTCTAGAGGTTATTGTTACTGCCACTGAATTCTGAAAGATTAACCAAGTGCGACTCGTTCACATAGAAGTACAGAGGAATCTCGATAATTAGAATCTCTCGATAATTTTTTTCCCTTGAAATATTCGATTAATTGAATAAAATCAATGTAATTAGTTCCATCGGTAATTTGAAGTTGAGGGAATAGTATCTTGCTCATCATGCGATCATTTGAAGTCCAGGTTTCCCTATATAAATTGAAGTGTTTATCACGTACAGACCTATCGTTTGTTTGACTGAAGTTGCTACCTCAAGAAAAGATTGACTTTCGAAATAAAAATTTGTGGCTTGTATTTAATTGTTAATACATAATATATAGGAATAACAAATCACGAATTTTAATCAAATTCTTATTTACGTTACCTCCCCCTCGTTGTTATTTAAACGCTAGTTATTTTGAACTCTCGATAATTTGAAACTCAAGAATTTCAAATTATCGAGTGTCGAGTTTAAATAACGAAAATATGCTCACATTGCAACTAAAGTTCTTTATTAAACACATCTAGACTCAATTAATACAGATCTCATAAATTTTAACTGTGTTTTCCTGTGGAAGAAAGAAAAATAAAAGCCAGAAGAAACATAATTTCGAAATAATAAATTCAAAATAAAAATTTGTGAATTTTATTTATTTGTTAATATGTATATAGAAATAATAAATCATGAATATTGATCAAACTCTTATTTACTTGAGTCCCCCTCGTGGTTAAGCTCGTAATTTGAACGCTTGTTATTTTAAACTCCCCTTGAGTTTTAAATTATCGAGAGTCGACTATATGATATTCGAAACTATGGTAAATGAGCAGAATTTAGAAAGATCAAGACAAAGGCAGGGCACGCCCATGCTGGATCCGCGTCCCTCTAAAAAAATCTCTTTAAATTGCCTTTTTATATTTGCATGTATGTAATTATTTTATGCGAATCTATTTGCAGATTAATTTGTGCATTATAAATATGGTGGGCATGTGTGTCTGATTTTTCTTGTGCGTTGCATGCAGTGGGCGTTCGCGCACGTCAAATGAAAAACTACAAGCCGCTGGTAAGAATTTCCTTTGCTTTCTGTGAAAATGCGTTTTTCGTTTCGCGTTATCTTCGGTGCAGTTTTCCGAAATAAAACTTTGATATTATGATGTATGAGAGCGTGAAACGAAAAATGCAGAATTTTATTACACTATACACTTCCTATTTATATGTTTAATATATCTTATTTTTTTAATACTTTAGTTAACACAAAAATGTCTTTGTGATTTAAAATTGTTAAGTTGGGGCTGTGTTGTCTTTAAGAATGTCTCTTTTAACTGTGTTATTGCTATAAAAAAATGTTTTTAAGAATAATATACAATTAGACGGGGGATTCGATTCTCGTCGAAACAATGATAGATTTGGTGGCCCCTAAATTTAATATTAGCAATCCGCCCCGTTTCGCTCGGGCAACCTTGACCCGGAAACCCTACAAATTATATACCTACAACTTCTTCATGAATAAGTCTAGATATATAATCTATCTATCACCAATGTGAAAACTGCAATAAATTCCATGCAGTAGTTTTTGAGTTTATCGCGAACAGAGAGACTATCTCGCTGATCGGAGCGTCAAGGTCGTCATCGACGGAGCATGTCCCGACCTTAAACCCGTGAATGCTGGGGTCCCACCAGTCTGTGTCATATCCCCGACTCTGTTTATTCTGCATATCAATGGCATGTTGCAACATTCACTGCACTGACGAAAGCACTGCTGATACTTTTCATTTTAATTTTCATTTTATTTCTCGGGCAGTTGTCGATTCGTAAGTACCGGAACAAACTTGTGTCTGAAGTCGAAACTCTACTACGTGCGGTTTCTACTGGGGTAGACTAAATCTAGTCCAATTTACCCCAATAAGACACAGGTTGGCGCGTTTTCCGTTAAAAAACACCCTTTGTCGCTACGCCTCTTTTCGAAGACACTCTTCTAAAGCTACAGCCAGCATTGGAATACTTGGCGATGACATATCGAACGCCGTTCAGTTTCGCGGTCATTTGGAGGGAAAGGGTAAATTAGCCTCCAAAAAGCTTTGTGTGCTCAGCAAGGCAAGACGGTACATCACTCCGAGCCACCGCCTGCAACTGTATAAAGTGCAAATTCGGCCCCACATGGAAGTACTGTTCTCACGTCTGCGCGGTAGCTTCCCAGTACCAGCTCCTTCCACTTGACCGTATTCAACGAAGAGCGGTTCGAATCGTCGACGACCAATCCCTTTCCGAGCAGCTTGATCCCTTGGCGTTGCGTAGTGATAGCAGTGTTGGACTAGTGGCTTCAGCGTGCGACTCTCATCCCTGAGGTCGTAGGTGACGGAAAACATCGTGAGGAAACCGACGTATCTTAGACACAAAAAGTTGACGGCTGATCATCTACTTGATTATTAGAATGAAAAAATATCATAAAACAGATTCAGAAATCTGAGGGTCCAGACCTAAAGAGGTTGTAGCGCCATTGACTTTTTTTATTAATCTTAATTAAAGTTCCAGCACCCAAAAAACCACCTCAGTTGTTTTTGTTAAGTGTTTTCGAATAAGAAAAAGACTTCACGCTTTAATTCAATAGACATCATCTTCTTTGGACCCATGGTAATAAAAATAAATGTGATAATGTTTTGTAAAAAAAGCAAAAAACGCGAACACAACTTATCTTAATGCTTCGAAAAAGAAAGAGTATGAAATTTCGTTAACGAAACACTGTAAGTAAATTTTCAAAACAATGAAAAACTGACGATCAAACTCCAACTAAATTTAATAAATTTTCAACCCCTCTTAACAATCAAATTGTCCCCACGTGCGGCGTGGGCTCCACATTGGGAAACACTAGTGTAGAGTGTAGTGTGCGATTCCCCGAATCCCAAATCTTGCTTTCATCTCAAAGCAAAATATCACTCGGCTGCATATATCTGAAAACACTCGTATATCGAATGTCGTATGTCGAAGTACCACTGTATGTGTTCTTGCTATGTTTTTGATCATGTACTATGTTTTCTTATGGTTTTGTTTACGATTGAATCTCACGAAAATTAATGAATCAGTTGCCGCGTTACGACCGTGAGAATAACAGATTATGGTTTAAGTGTTTACTCTGGCAGAATTATGAGAGTGTCATATTTAATCTTGGTCTTTGTCTGCTAGATGTCGCTGCAAATCTGACTAGGCTGTCAAAGTTCTCCTGAAAATGCATTTAAGAATTTGGTTCTAGGTTCCACGTTGGTCCCAAAAATAAAATGTTAGTTATTCTGGAAATTGACTTTAATTTTATTATAATTAATTATTCAATTTATCTCGTAATCAATGCAGAAGGTAGTACAACAATAACTTGGATTATTTTCGCTTCAATCCAACAGTATTTTGTTTTTATTCCAACTACAAAGCTAAAGTTTAAAGGTCAAATTAGCAAAAGGGCCGACAACGCACTTGCGAGGTCCCAATCAGTACCTGCATCAATCAAGATATGATTAATGCTATATAGAGGCATTACCATTTCAGGGCTCAGCGGATTCAAACTATTCACAACCATCTTCAGAGCTGTCGCTGGACGAGGATCGGGAGGCCCAGAGACGGGAGAAGGAAGCCCAGGCCCTGCTGCAGTTGGACAAGGCAAGGGTAAGTATTTTAACAAACAAACAATTTCTGCAAATATTTAAAATATACACACTTGTTAACATCAATTGTAAATTTATATTGACTGCCAGTTCTCAATACAAGAGCGTAGCACGGAGAAGAAATTAAACTACGAACTCTTTTTAATCACTTTATATGGAAGGAGAGAAAGAGAAACATTAATTCTTTATGGGACAAACGCTGTTGATTTTTTAAGACATGCTGAGTTACCTTTCAGTACGCTCCAATGCTAACAAAAATTATGAAATAATCGTTTAATTTCTTCCTCGGAAGTTCTCACACACTCAGCACACCGTAGACTATGGATGAGTGTGAACCCCTAAAGTTCGTATCAAGTTTTTTTACCAAGTCTGTAAATGTATTACTGCGCGAACTTGCACACGTTCCGATGCAAACAAATGACATCTATTATTAAAAGAAAGAGAATTTATTGTTATTATTATTACGAAACTGTAAATAAGAGAAGTGGAAACCACCAATTTCGAGTAAATATAGCAGAGTTAGAACCTGGGACGGTTCTACGAAAGGGAATGGTAAAATGTTTAATAGGAAAACGAGAATGAAATCAAGGAAACCATAAAAGCTTAACATTTCAAATAAAACATTTTTGAGAGCAAAAGGCTTATGGCTTCTAACAATTTTATATATTTTTTTTATACAATAGAGGCAAACGAGCCTACGGGCGCCTAAAAAGGGCAGCCCATGAACAGCTATTTTTTAGTTGGTGCGTTGCCGGCCGGGAGGAGTACACTCTAACTTTGAATAGTTAGACTTTAGAGGTCGAATCTCCCAGGGAAGAACCCACCGGGAGTCGACTCTGCAGTTCGCAAAAGAAAATACATGTTCGCTTAAACATACCTTTTGTCAACAAAATTTAACTAAACTGAGTTCAGGCACGTCTCATTCGAATTCTTCGCGATTATATATTAAACAGTACTTATTCGGAGCTGGATATATTCGGTAGTGGGTTGATCAATTTTAAAGAAAGCATTGTTAAGTGCTTATCTTATACCTAATCTGCTGTTTTTCTGGTAATTTTTTTCTACTTAACAAAAATTGCTACTATTTTTTTTTGTTTATGTTTACCAAAATTGTCAAATATTTATAAAAGATAGCTTTTAACATATACTGTAGATGCATTAAGTATGATTTGGTATACTTCAATAAATAAATAAGCTATTTTACTTAATAGGCTAATACTAAGATACAATAAACATTTTTGTATTAAATCTTTGTTCTATTTTTGTATCGATGTGACCTTTATATTTTAAGGTTTCATGGCTTCGAAGCCTTCGTTATCTCCACCTACGTAATTAAATGTCAAGATCAAATTACACTATTTCTAGGATGCGTAAGCCTCAATCACCTTGCAGGATTACTGACAATTCTCTCCCTGGGTCGGCAAATCATCTGGCGCGAATTCCGTCACCAATTTTCGCAACGGTGTATAATTTTGACTGTCTTTGATTTGACCATCTCGTTGGCGATCGTTCACGTGACTTCGGTGTTGCCAATTGTGTATAATTTTGACTGTCTTTGATTTGACCATTTCGTTGGCGATCGTTCACGTGACTTCGGTGTTGCCAATTGTGTATAATTTTGACTGTCTTTGATTTGACCATTTCGTTGGCGATCGTTCACGTGACTTCGGTGTTGCCAATTGTGTATAATTTTGACTGTCTTTGATTTGACCATTTCGTTGGCGATCGTTCACGTGACTTCGGTGTTGCCAATTGTGTATAATTTTGACTGTCTTTGATTTGACCATCTCGTTGGCGATCGTTCACGTGACTTCGGTGTTGCCAATTGTGTATAATTTTGACTGTCTTTGATTTGACCATTTCGTTGGCGATCGTTCACGTGACTTCGGTGTTGCCAATTGTGTATAATTTTGACTGTCTTTGATTTGACCATCTCGTTGGCGATCGTTCACGTGACTTCGGTGTTGCCAATTGTGTATAATTTTGACTGTCTTTGATTTGACCATTTCGTTGGCGATCGTTCACGTGACTTCGGTGTTGCCAATTGTGTATAATTTTGACTGTCTTTGATTTGACCATTTCGTTGGCGATCGTTCACGTGACTTCGGTGTTGCCAATTGTGTATAATTTTGACTGTCTTTGATTTGACCATTTCGTTGGCGATCGTTCACGTGACTTCGGTGTTGCCAATTGTGTATAATTTTGACTGTCTTTGATTTGACCATCTCGTTGGCGATCGTTCACGTGACTTCGGTGTTGCCAATTGTGTATAATTTTGACTGTCTTTGATTTGACCATTTCGTTGGCGATCGTTCACGTGACTTCGGTGTTGCCAATTGTGTATAATTTTGACTGTCTTTGATTTGACCATTTCGTTGGCGATCGTTCACGTGACTTCGGTGTTGCCAATTGTGTATAATTTTGACTGTCTTTGATTTGACCATCTCGTTGGCGATCGTTCACGTGACTTCGGTGTTGCCAATTGTGTATAATTTTGACTGTCTTTGATTTGACCATTTCGTTGGCGATCGTTCACGTGACTTCGGTGTTGCCAATTGTGTATAATTTTGACTGTCCTTGATTTGACCATCTCGTTGGCGATCGTTCACGTGACTTAGGTGTTGCCAATCATGCAGTGGAGGATTTACCAGCAGTCTGAGTATGCTGGAGCCTAGGGCGGCAAGTTTTGGAACCGATTGTTGAAGTTATACTTTTTTTGGCGCCTTAGGGAAAAATGATGAGAGTAACTTTTTTCTTTGGTTAGTGTGTTTTTTCTACAAACGTATATGGCGAAAGATAAAATTTTTGAAAAGATTTTTATCTTGTTACGCCTTTGTCGTAGTATAACTTCCCGGTAGCCCGAACATATAACGACCAATATTTAAGCCTTGACTTGTTTAAGCTATCTCAGAATCTTTAAAAGAGTATTAAGAATATCCATTGCGCTAAATCACCTGCATCATGAGCATACAATCAGCCGAATTAGTCACTTAGTTAAATGTTTTGATAATTTTTTCCTTTTGAAACTGTTCAAACCTTTTTGTAAATCTTATGTATGTCTTCTTAATTAATTAATCTTATATGTGTATCTTTGGCTATATCTTTAGCTTTTAATTTATAAACTAATCAAATATTACTTAGGAAATAGTATTTGTTACCAACCATTTCAGAGTTTTGAGAAAAACAAACTTATGATTCTCTATTCCTTTCAGTCGAAGCCGGTAGCCTTCGCAGTGCGCACCAACGTAGCCTACGATGGAACCATTGACGATGATTCACCGGTGCACGGCAGCGCGATATCGTTCAAGGAGAGGGACTTCCTGCACATTAAGGTTCTATTTGCTTTTTTGTATTACACCCCCGTGGCCCCGTAAACGGATAGGGGGCTCACCTGATGTTAAGTGATACCGCCGCCCATGGACACTCACATTGCCGCAAATGCGTTGCCGGCCTTTTGTTGAATTGACTCGGAAATACTTCAATGGGCAGCTGGTTCCACATGGTGCGCGGATAATGCTGCCTTAAAAAACGCGGAATGGAATGACGGACTTCGAGGTGACGGGTGGTATTTCGTATTCTGCCTCGAGGCTCGACGTCTGTTGAAACTCAGCTGCAGGTAATAAGCCGAACAACTCCTCTGAATACTCTCCATCCAAAGAGACGCCACAAACTCTTGAACCATCGTATTTTAATATGTATTAATTCACGTCATACTGACACTCTAAAATAATTTATAATATCTGCCCATAAATGAATATATAAAGAAAGGTTGCGTTGGAGTTTGATTAGACAGAAAAGTGACTTATGTCTCATTTCTACGCTTGTTTCCTACATATTTATGTATTTACAATGTATATTCGCGGATGCGTGGCGGACCCATGTGACTTCTTCAATACAAAGATGTTTATTTGCATCTACAAACTAAATACTGAACTTGTAAGAAGCAAGTTCGTTCGTTCTAACAAGCCAAAAACATTTTCAGGAGAAATACGACAACAACTGGTGGATCGGTCGCAAGGTTGAAGTGGACGCAGACGTGGGCTTCATTCCGTCCCCGGTGAAGTTGGAAGCGGTCCGGTCGGGGCTCGGCAGGGGCCGGTACCCGCGACCAACTTCCGGCTTGGCCCCAAACCCCTCGCAGACGCTCCCCAGCCGAGGTAGCACTCCCCCCACGCCCGGTACGTCACGCGCAGACCATTACACGCAATCGTGTAGTTGCTCTTCACGACTCCTGCTATCCTGGTAGTTTGGGGAATTTCAGCTTAATAATATACCATTACTAGCTGACCCGGCAAACGTTTGTTTTGCCAATTTTATTTCTACGAAACATTTTTTTTTTAAGTTCAATAAAAATAACTATGTACAATAATAAAAAATAGGGGTTGATCGTAGAGCGTTGAAAATTAGGGATTGTATATATTTTTGTACGCTGTATCTTAAAAACAAAAAAAAACAAAAAAAATAATTTTGGGGTGGACTCCACCTATCACTATATAGAAAGATAGATAGTAGACGATTCTCAGACTTACTGAATATGCATTAAAAATTTCATAAGAATCGATCGAGCCGTTTCGGAGGAGTATGGGAACGACCTATTAGATTAAATTTAATTATTTTGTTTAGTTTTTTTGAAATCTTTTGACATTATTTTTGAATAATTATAAATTTCAATATACATATGAATTATCCAATGAATTAACTAGTTCATAATGAAAGAAGTGAAACTATTTTTTTTTAATTATTAATTTGTTACCGGAGTCGTGAGGAGTATAAAACTTTTGTAGATTAATCAAATTCCTATGGACATTGTCAATTCAATTGCGTAAAGATATCAAATTAATAAACCTTTCAGTGAATTACAATTGCCCTTCTCCATAGGAACCATAAAATAAGGCTTTTAGATACGACTTGAAACTTTTTTTTAAAAGGTTTCACTTCGTTTCTGTACAACGCAGTTGATGTTTTGTAAATGGCTTTTTATGTTAATTGAATGATCAAATTTTATAAAATTGATGAGGTAAAGTGATAACAAGTGACGTTTATTATCACACCTGTATATTATCTAGTCGTGCACTTTTTGAAGTCATACTTCTTTTAGCGCGTTAGGGAAAAATGACGAGAGTAAATTTTAACGATGCGCGCGCACACCTTCACAAAAAACCGACACCCTGAAGTTAGCTATAGTCAACATTTTAGTTTTTTCTACAAACGTAGAATTATATTTTTGAAAAGATTTTTATCTTGTTGCGCCAAAGAAGTATAACTTCTAACGCGGCATAAAAAACTAGTTGCGAATGACGTACAGACTCAAATTGTATCGCAAATTCGGCTTTGCATGGCGAGAGAACGTCTGGACGACGGTCAGTTATTTGATACATTAAAAGAAAGTTGGAAAACTATTTTTATTTCCATTTGTCGCGCTATTCAACAAGATTGCTATGGTTACATTAATACAAGCCTCAGTGGTTCTCTAACTTCATGAGAATCTTAGAGGGAGGGAAAAAGGAAGATATGTTAGGAATTGAATGAATTTAATTGTCATTAAATTATTAAAAGTGTCGCAAATTAAGACAATTTATAATTTTAATTTTTGTAGTTTATTTCTTAATAAAAATACGTGGCATTTTAATTTACAATTCGTCATTTGAGATTTCAATAAATTATTTTGCATAAGATATAAAATACTAATATTTCATCAATTCTCTTTACGAAATTTTAATTTTATATACAGAATTTCTATAAGGTAATTCGCCCTTCTCACTCTCTCTGAATCGGTCTCAATCGCTCTCTAACTTTTTTTCGACAAAAACGCTGCACATCTTCGTGACGTTTTCGTCAAAATTTTACCCTCATGCGCCTTAAGAAGTTTAGTAAAAATGAGTGAAACATGCTTACAAAGTAAGATTTTTCGATATCGGGAAAGGTCGCGTTTGCAATTTGGAATAAACCAATACCCTTCTCACTCAGGAATATCGTTTGTGTCATAGAATATAAGTCTAGTTGCACTCTTAATTAAAGTACTCCTATCTCTTTCTGTCCAATTGTATTTACGCTAAGGTGGAAAGTGACAGATTCTTAGAGACTCAGGCTTAAGTTTAAACTACTGTGAACTAATTTACTTTTTGAAGTAAAACTTCTTTAGGCGCATGAGGGTACAATTTTTACGGATGAAACGCAATAATATTAGCGTCACGAAGATGTGCAGCGTTTTTGTCGAAGAAAAGGGAGAGAGCGATTGCGACCGATTGAGATAGAGTGAGAAGGGCGAATTACCTTATAGACATTATATTTTTAAAATTAAAATTTCGTAAACAGAATTTATGCAAATTAATTTATTGAAATCTCAAATGACGAATTGTAAATTAAAATGCCACTATATAAATAAGAATAAGACTTAAAAATTAGTTTGCCAAAGAAGTTTCACTTCTGGCATGTACTTTGTACGCACGCACTTTTTTTATGAGTTTACAAGAATCAAACGTCACTTGTCAAATTATATTAAGCTGCTTTGTACCACCATTGTCACTCATCTCAGCAATAATCTTTCCTGGTTCAATGAAGAGTTTCATATTTTCAGATTCGCCACACGACAGAGGTAAGAACATTTGTTAACCAGGAAATAAATGCTTGTTTTCACTTTCTTCATCCCACCTTCCATTGCTCCTGTAGTCTAAGTTTCCACAGGTTATCTACGATTTTCTTTGCTGGTTGATGTCTGGTTTCTTTTGGGTACTTAATATCAGTACGAGTGATAAAGTTTTATAGTTTTTTTACTACTCTCTTAAAATAAGAGAGTAATCACTCTCTTATTTTATTCTCTTATATTATTTTACTATAAACTTATCCAAAAGAAACCTTATTTACTATTGTACTGTTTAAATTGATATACATATATGTATGTGATTATGTAGATAGGACCCGCAATATATGTCAAAGCATGAATAATTTTTGTTTATATTAATGTTACAAGAACTTTAAAGTACCAAACCCCGTAAAGCCTGTTTGTATTTAAACGTTTACCAAAAGTTTTGTTTAGAATATTTTTTTTTTTTGGCTCTGGCACGATTTGTGCATTAGCCAGCGTCAAGTATAGGATTTTTTATAATTCGTGCTTGTTTTTTAGAAATTCGACAGTGTCCTCTATGTACGGTTTAAGCACTCGTTCGGTACCGCACAACCCTCCCAAAGGCCGAGAACAAATTTAAATTAAATTAAAACTTGCCCTCGAACCGGGAATCGAACCCGGTACCCCTCACCTAGCTGCCACTTAATAAGACCGCTAGGCTATGAGGTCCCTTTAGAATATTTAGCGTGTACCAATTCTATAACTTTATGTAGTCTGTGACGGGAAAAGTTAGGTAAGAAAGATGGCGCCGAAATTTTTAAAATGTTGTATGTTGTTAGTTGTAAAATTCTCTCGAGTCCAGAGAGAGACACAAAGACTTCAATGAACTACTGATTTAACACCCAGTTTTTTTTGGATTCAATACTTAATTTGGCCAACAGCGAGAATTTAATAATTTGTTCCCAGGAGAGGACTCGGATACAGCCGGGCGAGGGCGTGGCGCTGGGGCGTTACCTGCGGGTAAAGAAAAACGAAAGCCTTTCTTCAAGAAGCAGGAGGCTTGCACGCCATACGACGTAGTGCCTTCGATGAGACCCGTGGTTCTCGTGGGACCTTCGCTGAAGGGTTACGAGGTCACAGACATGATGCAAAAAGCTCTATTTGACTTTCTCAAACGGAGGTTTGAGGGAAGGTAAAAAGTTTACATTGGGCTTCTGCTTAACAGGATCAGAAATTCTTCAATGTTTAGAATTACCATAAATATTAAAAAATCTAATCAAATATCAGGTCTTTTGCATGGTTTCCCTAACATGATTCCAACACGTCAAAGACAAAAGTCAAAATCATTCATTTAAACTTATGAACGTCGAAAATGAAATATAAATGAAACGCTTTTAATTTTACATTTTCTGTCAGTTCTCAAATCAAGGGCGTAGAACGGAAAAGAAGAACTGGCAATAAACTCTCCGCCACGCTTTTTTTAAAATGTTTGTAAGGAGCTGCACCTATTACACTATGTTCCACGTGACATCTTAAGTAATTAATAATTTTAAAAAACTAATCCATTCAACCCCTAACCTACATAATCCGTAACTCGTAACAGAATCACTAACAATTTCAGGATAATAATAACGCGCGTAATGGCGGACATTTCGCTCGCAAAACGATCGTTGCTCAACAACCCGTCGAAGCGAGCGATCATGGAGCGCTCAAACTCTCGTTCGACTTGTCTCGCCGAAGTTCAGGTATTAATCGATTGACGCTTTACAGAATTATCATCACCAGAGTGACGGCTGACATATCTCTGGCGAAGAGGTCGTTGCTAAACAACCCGCCTAAGAAACCGTTGATGGACCGAGCCAATTCGAGAACGAATTGCTTGGCTGAAGTTCAGGTTCTGGCATGATTGTTTGGGCTGTCCGACACTAACCAAATAAGTGGTGTAGATGCACTAATCACCCCTAGAAAGCCTAGAGTTTCATACTAATACGGTGGACGAATTCGAAATTGTGTATAATTTCTTTTGCATGTTATGTTTATATTCTTCTTTTAATAGATCAGGGGACAAACGGGCTGGAGGCTCATCTGATGTTAAGTGATACCGCCGCCCATAGACACTTGCAATGCCTGCTCGCGAGTGCGTTGCTGGTCTTTTAAAAATAGGTTAAATTTTACAATGTTAACGGTGTTTTCGTTGTGACTCGACCCATAAAACGTAAGCAGATTTACTGCAATTTATTACACACACCCCCCTTCTTGTCAGCAAAAGTAAGCAAAGCTCTCAAATATAATAGTACATAAACGTATTAATTTTTGTAGGAATCCACAAAAATGCATTCCGTTTTCAAGTCTATACAATGTGTGCGTAAAAAAGTAAATAATTACTGTTGACGTAATCACCAAATACATCAAAGATTCCCCCTTCAGATAGTGCTGACATGATATTTGAACGGCCCCAATGTGTGTGGTGATGTGGTATAACATATGTTTATTTATTAATTGAGCTTTCGTGCTCTTAAATTAGCAAAAAAATTGAAAGTAAGAAATCTTCCGTCAGATTCTGAGTAATTTTCTAATGTTTTCAGACGGAGATCGAGCGGATATTCGATCTGGCTAGGACGTTGCAGTTGGTAGTTTTGGACTGCGATACGATTAACCATCCCTCACAGCTCGCGAAGACCTCGCTAGCCCCAACCATTGTGTACCTGAAGATATCTAGTCCTAAGGTAATATGATTTGATAAAAGTGGTTTTGCACTGTGGAAGAAATATGTTCCTTCTTAATGTTACTTTTGAGTTTCAGGCACGATTTAAAAATTAATATAATTGACATATACTATTATATATTATATATACTATATAATATTTTACTACGTAATACACGCTAGAGTCAATGTTTCCCAACCTGTGTGCCCCACCTTAGCCCTTCTAAAATTCTTAGGGCCCTATGTAACACAAAATTTTTATTATTACAAAATATATTTATTATTACAAGATATCAAGCAATAATAATACATTTTCAAATCAAACATAAAAAACAGAAATTTGATTACCAAATAAATTTAATATAGGTTTTTCAATATTAATTTATTATTATAATTAAGTGAGCGCGTGATGCTTGCTTCACAGAGATTTTATATTTCGTTTCAATGTTGTTAGCTTCAGTGTCAAGTCTCGTGTTATATCCAGCCGATTTTGATTATCCCTTAACTATCAAATTGCCCCCCAGCCCTGCGATTCTGTAACTCACTTTTCGAACTCACACATTTCGTTGTGTGAGTTCGAAAAGTGAGTTTTCGGTTGAAAAGGTGGAAGCTTGTAGTTTATTGATTATCAGAATGCCAAATCATAAAATGACTGCTTCACGACTGATTTGAGAGCAACCGCCGATGCGAAAACCGCTGTGTGAGTTCGAAAAGTGAGTTACAGAATCGCAAGGCTGTGGTTCGTGGGTTTCACGTTGGGCAACACTGCGCTAGACTATACTACGGAACTTGTATGAAAATTAGTTTTATACATTTCTTTAATTATGTTTATCGACCTAAATTAAGCTGAAATTAAATCTAAATGTATAATGAAATATTCCAGGTTTTACAACGATTAATAAAATCCCGCGGAAAGGGGCAAAGTAAGAACCTGTCGGTACAAATGGTTGCTGCCGAGAAACTGGCTCAGTGTCCCAATGAGATGTTTGATCTCATTTTGGACGATAACCAGCTCGAGGATGCGTGCCAACGCATCGCGGATCATTTGGAAGTACGTATACGTGCAAAGTTAGAATTGTTTAATCTTTATTATAATTATAAATATCCGACATTTTATTTTAAAATTTGGTTTTAATTTTATGTTTAATGTGTCAAAGGGCCAGACCAGACAAGAGGTAAATTCTCACAAGAGGGAGAGTTTTCTAAACGAAAAACTAAATCGTTCCTTTCAATATAATAACACAAATGAACGTGTTCCGTCTTTACTTTACTTTATTTTAAACCCTCTGATTTCAAGTGATTCACCACATGGGCACCTCACAATGTCAGAAGACTGGAGTCATGTGTTGTCTTTTAAAATTGGTACGATCCTATAAATGTTGAAACTTATTACAGAATTATTGGAACGCAACGCATCCGCCCGTAGCGGCCGCCGCCCCTCGCCCCGCACCTCACCCCTCGCACGCCGCAACCCCTCACGCCCAGCCTGGTGAGTACAAGACTAAACAAAGATAGCCCTTTAAAACTGTGATACAGTTCCACCAGCTTAATTATAAAAAAACTAAATCAGTATTTTAAGTAAGTTCGTCTCTTTCTATCGAATTGCGTTTACGCTGTAATGAAAGTGACAAATCAATGCTTTAGTTAATTTTTTTTTTAATTAACTAGAACATTGAAACTTAAATTAACGGGAATAAAATTGAATAAATCGTATAAAAATATTGTCCATTTGAAAGTAATCAGACTACACAATTTTTATGCTATGGTAATAAAAAAGTTCATAAAAATTTAATTAGGTCATAATAGAATGTCAAAATTGCCTAATACTTTAGGTTGTTTGGACAAAATCACTATCTATACTCTATCAACCGACCGACAAATACTTTTATTTAGTGTAAAATAGACTTATTTCGTGTTTACGCATAAATTTATAGTTAATATATCGGAGTTTTGGCGTTACTGCCAACTGCCACAGTCATTATATGACAGAGCTAATAAATAACAAAGTCAAATCAAATTAACGGTTTTAAACTGATTTGACTTTGACGTTGACAGCTGACAGTAACGTCATCACCCCGACATACATACAAGGAGTACTTAGGTTCACATTCTAATAATTCGGTTACAATCTCGTCTCCACTGTCATACGTCAAACTTCGTACAGAAAATGGTTTGACAGCTCTTGACACTTTAAGGGCAAGATCTATAGAGCGCACTTAGACTTTGCTCAGACTTTGCTTTGCATAGATGTTACCGTTTTAGCCGTTTAAATATTTGTTATTGTTATACTTTTTTAAATGATAATAAAGAAGGTATTCCATGAAATGAAACATCAATTTGTACTTTATCATTTTCTGTCTTAGCTTGTGCTTAGCTTAATCTCACCGTTAAAATGTCTATAAATACTCAATCATAGTTTATGCTTAGTGTACACTAAGCAAAGTTTTTCGTAAGTAAAGTTTCAGCTAAGTCTAAGTGCGCTCTATAGATCTTGTCCTAAGTGTGATTGACGTTGGACCTTAATACCACAAAGGTGAATACCGAAACATGCGCCAAGTAGACCATAGAACATATCTTAATGATAATAGATAATATACGTACTGATTTGGCCAGGTTACACCGGCCGTGGTCAAAGGCACAATCAAGTGTACTCAGGTACTAAGATTAGTGTTGTTGATGTCGTCTCGTAGCGTACTCACGGAATACTTAAATAAGTTTGGAAGAGGCCAAATTTGTACCAGCGATTCCGCTTGAATTGTCTGTTCGGAAAGAGAACCGGCGTTATGCAAACTAACCATTTCAGTCATTTTAATGATTACTATAATTAACTAACTCGACACATTATGAACTGAGGCTTCGGGTTATAAATCATATTTATCGGTCTTTCTCGCTCGCACTTACAGGTCTTATGATGAGGTGTAGTGATGTGCGCAAGAATGGTAGAGGTGCATATCGATAATGGGATAGGTACGATCGATATGCTAGTTTTGTCCCAAGTCTTGTGGTAGTTAGTTTTCCTGAGTACCACTTTTTGTAAACAGTCCACTCTGGCACAGATTATATCCGCTCTTTCCATTAATTACTTTCGTCCATCGGAATTTTTTAATCTTCGTCAAAATTTTTCGCATTGAATATCCACTCTTAAAATTAGGCATCTGTTCTTGGTATTTTTCTAGAATTCTACGATGACTTCAACCCCGCGTACAGTGGCGTAACTATACCATCTGGGGCCCGTGGCAAATTCATATGATGGGGCCCTATCAGAAATCATCATTTTGTAGTCAGTTTAATTTTAATAAACTTCGATATTATCAGCATACTCAATTACACGTTGTATATGTCGCATTAATGGCCATAGGCCTCCTCTCTTAGGCGACAGGGAATGGTCTGTAGTCCCCACGCTAGCCCAATGCGTATTGGAGACTTCACATCCGTCGATAGAACATAATATCTCATCGGCAGGGGCCCTCTTGAGGCATTTTGCCAGCCAGCTATTGTTACGCCACTGCCCGCGTAGCTATCCGCGTTGTATCGATAACGGGTTGCATTGCGTGCACATTTCTACTGTCAGTGACATTTATTGTACGAAAACTCAGTTTAAAATGCGTCGACTATAATAATGGCTAACACTGCCCCAAAACCCCGCGACGGTTCTCTTTATGATGAACGCACAGACTATACATAATCGGCATTCCATACTTATTGATTTATTCCGTACTAATGGTTATAAAAATATAATTGCTTTAAATAGAATAAATATGTCGGAGGTTGGAAATTATCAAGAATTTACTAACAAAACGTCTATCACATATAACTTATGTAAATTAATGGCCTTGTAAATATGACAAGCATGATTTCATTTATATTAAACATATTAAAAATATAAATTTAATTAAATTTGAATTTATAAAACTGATACTGTACCTGGTCTTATAAATTTAAATTCTACATACTTATATCTATATATTTCGGTTTAAATGAACAAAAGTGTAAATGTCAAAAGTTTTAAGGACGTTTGCGTGCATTTTTTGTACTTTAAACATATTTTGCCTATATACCTTTGTATTTCTTCAAAGTATACTAAAAACATAAAAGCCTCAACCTTCACTTCACTTCACTTCACTTTATTTATAATGGCGACATCTGTGTAAATCACAATTCCGCCAATGTCACGTTCTAAGTCTTCACACAGTGAGGATAGATTTGATAATTTTGATAGATTGAATTTTATCTAAGCAGAGTTACCCAAAACAAAAATGACATCACAATAAATACAACACACACAGACATCTAATAATATATACAAGAGGTTAACATTTTACTAGCCTCAACCTATTCGTTTGAAACTCATGCGTGACTTTTGACATTGACACATTTCTCAATTCACAATGAAGTGGGAGAATCATAAACGAAAGATAAAACGACAGTGCGTCAAAGTCATGTCATATCAAATGAATAGACTAGAGTCTATTCATAGACAATGTCTACTGACTTGTGACATTCCTTTTGACCAATCAGAAACAAGCGAAATGCGTCCTTTCATCTTTCATTTACTTTCTAAGTTACTCGTCTTTAACATCACCCATACTCTGTAACTAACAATATTTGTTAATATTGAACCCCCTGCTCACTCTGGAGGTCACCGGGAGAGGTCCGACTCCTATAATTACGAGAGGGAGAGAGGTAACTAACAATTGTATGGTATTAACTGTAGTACTTGTAAATCCTTTCTTATTTAAGTTTATTTAAAAGCAGAATACACAGAAATTTGTCTGTCTCATTCACTGATGTTTTATGAGTTTAGAGTTATTTTTTGAAGTGAAACTTCTTAAGGCGCATGGGGCAAAATTTTTACGGAACGTCACGAAGATGTGCAGCGTTTCTTCGAAGAAAAGGGAGAGAGCGATTGAGACCGAATGAGAGAGAGTGAGAAGGGCGAATTACCTAATTAAAAGAAATTCTATTTATAAAATTAAAATTTCGTAAAGAGAATTTATGAAATATTATTATTTTATACAAATAATTTATTAAAATCTCAAATGAATTAAATTAAGTAAATTAAAATAAATTAATAATTTGTATTAATTTTCGACACTATTAATATTTTAATGACAATTAAATTCATTAAATTCCTGACATATCTTCCTTTTTCCCTCCCTCTAAGTCTCGGAAATCTAAAGTTATAGATTTGTATAAATATGAAAAAGACTTAAAAATTAGTTTGCCAAAGAAATTTCACTTTGTACGCACGCACTTTTTTAATATTATAAGGGATAATACCAGAGAAATAACATTAGTTAAAAATCATATTTAAAACAATCACTTAACCACGGCAGACACTTTAACAAAATGTTCATATCGGTGTTGTGAAAACGTCTTTCCAAAATTGTATTATAGTTTATATTCAGACATTGTTTTTTGTACTCTCTCAAATTTAACCTTAAGAAAAGGTCCCATTCAGTTGCTTCCGGACCATACACTGCTGAATATAAATTTAAATCGTAGGCTTTTGATTTCACTCTGCACCGATCATCTCTCACACGATAGCTGAATGTTGTGTCGCTTTTAGATTAGATCTCATACATTATTACAGTTTCATTTCACTAGTTCCTGTTCATTTCAGTACAAGCATCTGGGCAAGCGCATTAGCATCGCGGAAGACCATTTTATCCTGTTCTCATTTAGCAGACCGGCGTACCGTCCAGGTTGAGTCACTTCGGATCCCAAGTATTGCTTTCACTAACCGTGGTGTTGCTTCTACTAATTTTCACCTGGATTTGCACCTGAAATCGATGTCTTTTATTTTCGACGCTATTTTTGAAGCAAATCTTTGCACTTGACTTTCAAATTCAACCAAGCCACGAGATGCATGAAGTGGACACGGTCGAGTTGAAAGAAAGAGCAGTGGGTGTTGTCAAAGGTTACATTGGGTATCGGTTTGCATTTTGCAGCAACGCCACTGCCGACGCCGGCCGCTGGTGTGGTCCCTTGTCCAGGCAAAGTGCGAAATGTCGGGGAGGTCATGCCGCCTGTACCTTAACAGGGTCTCGTAAGTGCGTGCCAGTGTGCCACGACCCCTTCCAGCCCTCGTGTGCCGTGTGACCTGACTGTAAATTTAATTATCCGATCGCGAGAATGCTTCATAACATTGCAGTTGACTTGTCATCGTGTTTCTCACTAACCCAAAAAGACTGTTGTTCCTTCGCTAATATTGAATTCAATAATCCAGGTGCCAGATCACGGGCGGCCCGACCGGAGCGCCTCGAAGAGGAGTACTACCCCCGCGATCAATACCATCGGTATCCGCGGGAATATCCGCGAGACCGCGACTATCACGATGGATATTCCCACGACTACCGAGCGGACGAGGCCTACGGTCACGATTACACGAGGGAGTACGCCCGCGACTACGCCAGAGAGAGCTATCCCCGCGAAGAGCGAAGCGCCAGACCGCGCGAACGCGATCCGCCGGAGGACTACGGGCCTTCGAGACGCGCTCTCAACGCCCTCTAGCCCCTGCCTCGTGTCTCTGCACCGTATTCGTACCGTTCGGCGAAGAAGCTCTCGGTGGAAGATGTCGTCTCCCGCGTCGTGGGGCTCGCGAGGCGCGGGGATGTCGAAGGATTATTGTTTTGGACCGCTTGGCCACTCATCTCTTAGTACCCGCCTTAATAGCACCGATATCCTTGCAACTCATCGAGCTACGAGATTTTACGTCGATACACTTATGCACTTTCATCGATGATATTATTAATTAATTGTAAATATAGATAGGCCCGCCGGTCGAGGGGCGTTCGAGCTCTCTATCGAGGCGATAGACGTTCGGGGAATCCCAGAGGCTTCGGTGGGATACGGTGCGGAGGACGCACGCGGTGCTTACGGACCGGTTGTTTTGCCATTTTGTGTAATTTTCAGAGATTTTGAGTATCCGTTTTCGCGCATAAAGACGCTGTTTCGATTTACTGAGCTTCGGTGGCTTTGAGAACGAAACGAGTGGATCTCGGCTGATTTTATTTCCCGGCTTCTTGGATCTATATATGTTGTGATTATTTATGCTATTGCTAGCTAATAATTTTCGTTCGGCGAAGTAGATGTTGATTTTAAGTATTTATTATATATTATAGTAGAATCGGAGTATATTTGTAAAAAATACGTTGCGTTTAATAGTAATTTATTCAAAATATTGCAAGTTAAAGTCCTTGTAAAAATATGGACCAATTCCCTGTTCCATAATTTGTTCTGTTTTCCTAATAATGTAAAATAATTAATTGACTTTGCTAGGAGGCCAACAGACGGCTTTCTGGGCTTCAGTTTTTGGTGTAAATGATTGTGTCGTGAAGAGAAGTAGGGAGGTGCCGTCATAGATGATTTGTGTTTTAAAACACTAGGGGGTGGTTATAACAACTACGAAATATTGAAAGTATAATACCAGCGCTGTACATTCTATGAAAAGTCTTTAATCTTAAAACCTCTTTTTAATTTCCCATATTATAAACATTAGTACTTTGATTCGTCAATGTATTTATAGTATCTGAGATAAATTTCATGTGTTATTTTACAATACTTGCAAAAATTTACAGTTGTTAAGTTCCGAAGGTAGTTCAAGAAAATTTTTGTGTTTGTTGCACGCAGAGTGTCATATGAATTATTTTCCTATACGTTTGTGCTAGTACGATTGTATACATACGGAATTGTCTATTGTTATTGACAGCTCTATGACGGCACCGTACGGTACGAATCACGTCTGTATAAATACTGAATTATCTCTAGTGCCGTTAGATATTATCTAATACCCATTTTTTGGACATACTCTTGTAATTATAATGCATCGTCTGTACTTCATTGTTGCAATCATTTGTAAATAAAATACTTTATATCGATTTGGCATTTTTTCTTCCTTTGAATATTTATAAAATACTTAGCGATTTCAAATTTCGATTCCCACACATCTATGCGATTGGATAAAAACGACCGATCACTGCTATTTGGAGTGAGTTCGATATTCAAATCTAGAATTGAATTCGAAGTATACAGAAACACAGTGTTTTAAACTACGCTATGATACTGAACTGCAGGTCTGACAAGTATTTTGTTTCTTTGTGATTGTCTATTTCTAGGTATGTGGCGCTGCAAGGACTAAAAAGCACTAGTGTTTCAGAGTATTAGGAAATGTGACCCAAAATTAAAACGTTTTTAAAATTTTGTCGCTGCGGTGACGGTAGTTTAAAATAAAATGTGATCCGTCACGGGACGCCTGGCAGATGTGAAAAATCGACATTATTTTGTAAAAGTAATATGCAGAAAAAAAACAGATTGTGATAGGAACTTAATATGTCATAATGATAAAATAAAATATAACGATTTTTTTTCCAGATAACGATGACTATGTATTGAATAAACATTTATTTTTATTAAATACAAAAATTTACGAATTTATTTCAAATCGTGACTACTTAATTCGTGTAATCAGTGACTTCGAAATACACACACCGTACACAATACTGCATATAGACTGCATATAATATATACCATCATATAGCGGTTTTATAGATATTTCACATCAAAAATAAAAAACATTTTAAAACATATTCATATTTATTACATCGTTAAATTCAGTGGACATAGTCCAAAAATAAATAAAACATCACATAACAATATACTTCTCGCCTCTTTGGTGTCTACTAGCTACATTATATTAATTTTATTTACAATTTACACCAATTCTTAAATGTCAGTACAAAACTATTTTATTTATTTCCGTCTAACGAAATGTTTTTACAGATTCAATGTTAATTTTAGGTTATAAAGTATACGAAATGATCATTATTACTATACAATTATACATATATGTATGTGTAATGCGTATGCGCAATAGTACGTGGTATTTAACATAAATTAAGTATGGAGACAACCTAATAACTTGGTATCAAAATTAATTAAAAAATAACTGGCTGTAACTGATAATTTCAAATACATTACAATATTTTAATTTAATTTATATTAATTATTACGAACATTATATAACAATTATTAAAAGAAAACATTATTTACTGAAAACTTATTTTGGGTTTGTTTAAAACATGAGTCAGTTGATTATCGTATTTGGGTATGAAACATTGATTAAACCATTGTGCAATTACTTTCCTAAAAGACAGATCTTTTATTACAAGCCTTACAATTAATCCCTTATAAAAAGTAAACCAGTTTAATTGCACTCTTAAGTACTCGTTCGCCTCCTGTCAAATGTTTACTGTGAATAAGAGTACTTTAACTAAAATAACTGATTTATTTTTTACAAATAACACTATGAATATCATACAACATCCATCTTTGGTTCTTTCCATATGTACATATATATGTCGCGTGGTCATATATACAAATAATCATTTTTTGTTTCCCTGCAATAACTTATACTTGGAAACTTGTATACTGGGCTGTACCTTCGGTTATCGCTGTCAGACTCAAGGGATAGAGCCGATAATGCCCTAGAAGGTTCTTCTTCTGCTTCTGGGAGGGGGATAGTCCGTGGGGGCAATGGGGGCGCTCGAGGATTCCTTCGAACCCTGAAGTGGCAGTCACTGTCTGAGGGCCACGCGCGTTGGACCAGAAGTGGAAGGTCGTCTGGGTGAAGTTTCCTTTCGTATTCTTGTGCTGGGCAAACCTGAAATTTAAAGGTTGTGTTTGCGAGTGTTTCAGTGATAGTATTTGTATAAAAACGTTGATTGAAAATCTAATGTATTTTAAAGTTACATTGCCACAGGGACCAAACTTTTTAAATTTGTTTTCATTTTCTTTTAATTAAAATTAATTATTTTTATTATTACTATGTATTGTAAAAATATTATAGAAACTGAATAGTAAAGTTAAAATGTTGTTTAGATATCATTCTTTGATGCTTTGATCGAAACTTTGTCTATCCAGAAAACAACTTCAAGTAAAATGTTAACGAGTGGGTTACGTTAGTATGTAATTCTATAATAGGTATTTATGAAGTGAAACTTCTTTAGGTGCATGAAGCTAAAATTTTTACGGATGAAACGCAATAATACTAATATTAGTGTCACGAAGATGTGCACCGTTTTTGTCGAAGAAAAGAGAGTGAGAAGGGCAAATTACCTTATAGAAATTCTGTTTTTTAAATTAAAATTTCGTAAAGAGAATTTATGAAATATTAGTACATATTTTATATTTTTTTTATATTTATATTTTATATTTTATGCAAAATAATTTTTTGAAATCTCAAATGACGAATTGTAAATTAAAATGCCACGTGTTTTTATTATCGAAGAAATAAATAATCAAAGAAAATTATAATTTGTATGAATTTTCGACACTTAATATTTTAATGACAATTAAATTCCTAACATATCTTCCTTTTTCCCTCCCTCTAAGTCTCTAATGTTTTAGATTTGTATAAATATGAACAAGACTTAAAAATTAGTTTGCCAAAGAAGTTTCATTTCTGACATGTGTACTTTGTACGCACGCACTTTTTTTTATTCCCTATTATTGGTTCTCAAGAGGCTTACCTCATACAACGAGAACCTCTCAACGCCTTCCGTTGAGTCATAGCAATGTAAGAGGATAGCCAGGAGCTCGTCAGCAGTGGTCCTCTCACTTGTAAGCAGGCACTTATACTGTGATGAGGACATGAGAGCGGAGTCGTAGATCTTCACCAAGCCACCAGGGCGCATTTGAAGAGAAAATCTGAAAACAGTAATTAGTAAATTGTATGTACTATTGTGAAATTATAATAAATTTTATGTAGTTTTCGAATTTTAATATATATTTTATGTTTTAAATACTACTAAAGTTTTGTGGTTTTATTTACATCACAAAAGACTGAAATTTTACGCAACGCAAAAATGAGTACTTATTATAAGTTTTGTTAGAAAGCTGACCTGTTCGGAATGGTCGCTACAATTTACGAGGATCAGTTCAGGCGTTAGACGGTTACCGCTATGTTTGTGTGACAGAAATCTTATATAATGGGTATTTATTTAAACATATGTACGACTATATATTTGAAACAAACGTATACCTAAAATTGTATGTACCAGTACCAGTGAGCTACAGTCAAGATAATATACTCTTAATAATTTTGACTTATCGATAACATACATCTCTGCGTATTTCAAATATATAGATTAATAGATTGAGTTGAATCATAAATAGTGAACTAATTGCTTGCTCCACTTAAACCAATTTAGAACGAGCAAAGTGCCCGTGAAATATGGGATTTTTAACATCATTATTTTTTATTACACCAAGCTTTATAAATAGTTGTAGTATATTATCACTGATATATATGACATATAAAGTGAAGATACCTTTACAACCAGCTACCCTGCGGTCTAGGTACTCGCGTTTAATCTCACATGGCCTGGATAAATGGCCTATCCAACACGAATTATTCAGTAAGCAATGATTTACAATTAATACATTTTTTTCCAATTTTTTTTTATTGACGCCGGGCTCGGTATATATAAGAAATACCCAGCATTTCACATCTACGTTGATAAAAATGATGTAAATTAAAGGTAAACTGCCACACTTTGTGTGTGTGTGCCACACGTTTTAAATTTGTGTTAACTTTTAATGATGTAGGTCAAAATATATTATATTGTAAATACTGTATATTTGTGGAAATAAATATGTTTTGACTTACAATGTTCATTAAGGATAATTGGTTGCATACCATAGCATGACGGAAAATTTACATTACAATCGGTTAATCGAAAAACTGGCTAAATGCACGCTAGGTGAGCAATAATGTTTGTAAATTCATAATTCTATAAAAAGGCTATTTAAATTATAATTAGAATTCTCTAGAATATGTCCAAGACATGTCGTCAGCCACTAATGAAAAATTATATGATTAATCATTATATTTTCACGGTGTAAACGAAGTTTTATGTTTTATTCGTGCTTCTATTTTGCGTGCTAGTACTAAGCGTTTGTTATTATAATGATATTTGATTTCAATATGTCAAGAAGAATGGCGTAATGGTGGCAGTTCCTAGCAATTTCCTTCTCCACTTGACGAATAAGAGTAGCGAAGAGTTTCTTGCCTTCTATGCCCTTGATTTGGGAACTGGTATATATTAAGTTTAGATATTTTTTTACACGCTTTATATTAGCTTCACCTGTATGTATGTATGTATGTAACCGACTCCTTCGGACTCGATTTTGACCCACTTTAAACGGACAGATTTAATTCAAATTTTGCGCACCTGTCAAAGATCGATGACAATGCAATAATCCGAAAAAAAATTAACTAAAAAATAAAAAATAAATAATAGTTAAAAAAAACTAAAAAACACGCTTTTAAAGCACATCAAACTACGCGCGCCCCACGCTTTTTCACAATAATACCAGTATTTTTTGTTCATTACCATTTTCAGCCTAAATTAGGAATTATTTTTCACTTTTTAGTTTGTTGTGCTTTAAAAGCGTGTTTTTTAGTTTTTTTAAACTATTATTTATTAATGTTTGCATTTATAAGTATGCATCAATTTTATTAAATAAATTTGTATTTGATTTCCAGAATGAACACACATTAAAGCACTCTTAAATATGTTTTTGTACCTTAAATAACAGAAGTATTTTTTCCCCTCCCACCCTTCCTTTTACTCTATTAAATTGTTCGTTAATACGTTTCAGACCAAGCAATTAAATCGAAATCAAACACGTCAACAAAACACAGTCCATATGGTCAAAGGGCTCTCAAAGAATTAAAATCCCGTGTTTAAGCCAAGAATAGCACCGGAAAGAGGACAAAGCGTTTCTTTTTTGAGCGGTGGTCTATGTTACTATTTCGAAGCGCGAGTTTTGTGTTTTGACATTTTACAGAAAAAACAAACGTCGATTTCGTTTTATCGTTAAGTTTTACTTCTAGTTCATAATAAAAAGCTACCTGCTGTACACATAAAGCTTCGGGACAGTGGATTTTAAATTTTAACTCGTAACTTTTATTCACGTGAAATGTTAAGCTTCCTGTACTTTATTAACAAATAATAATACTTGATACTAAGAAATACGTTTGGCAGCCGTATACGGCTACATACAATACAAAAAAATATCAAATTAGAAGCATGCCAGAAAGCAAGAACTAAGAATAAGAAAAATAGACAAAATAAGACAAAAAAACAAAAGTCATAGATTCCTTACATTATGCCCTTAAACAGAAGTGGCAACAATGGACGGGTCATATAGCCATATATATACACAGACAGAAGGTGGACTTTAAAGACAACTAAGGAAAGGACCAAAAGGAAGAAGTAGAAGAGGGCGCCCAAAAAAAGGTAGATAGAAGAAATATAAGTGGTAGCAGGAAGCGAATGGAGAAAGGAAGCCATAGACAGAGTCAGTTGGTAAAAGATAACAAAACAAAAATAATGTATAAGATGTAAAAAATCTAATGTCATGATTGGAAATTAAACGGGCTGTTTTATTATTTATTGATAAGCAATATAAATAAAACAGAAGTATCATCACCGGCTAGCCATCTTACTAGATATAGCAGAACAGTGTAACAAGTGGACAGTGCTTACTAAATATTTATAATGGGGCATGGGACAAATTTTTATTGATAGTTTTTATTTCGAAGTCATTTTTAAGGTGTTTTTACCACGCAATGTTATTTGAAGAATATTTTTTAATGTCCGATGTTTCTACACTAAGCTATCTTGCACATTAGGTGAAGGACGTTGGTTATATGGACTGGCCCAAACCATGACCAAAAGAGCGATGGGCAGACGAGATTGAAAGGGGCAAACATTGGATGATGACGGAAAAAAATAAAATATGGACGGGGCCACATCTTAGCTTAATAAAATTCCAATATGTGGAAATATATAGGCTTATAGGAATTTATTCCTAATAAGTAGATTAAAATACTTATATATCATGGGAGACTCAATGTTATTATCATACTATATTTATCATACTATATTTATCATACTATATTTATCATATTAATTTATTGTCTGATATCTGCAATTAATATTGCTTAGTCTGATAAGGCACAAAGGTTGCGATCTAATTATTAAATTTGTCCCAATATGGGATTTAATTGTAACCTAGATATTACGAGACAAACAATATGTCGTGAATAAATCATTAATTTGCCAAGAGATATATATATATGCCTATGTTTAATAGGCTTTTATAGTCTCTCATCAAATTTGTTATTTAACAAAACAAATCAGTTGCGCTACAACCTTTTTAGGTCTGGGCTTCAGATTTCTGTATCGGTTTCATTTGTCAAACTTTGTGATCTGGTTTGTGCTTGACGCATGCCGTTGACTTTTTGGGGTCTAAGGCGAGCCGCGAAAGTTCATTGGGGCAGAGCCGGGATCAAACCTACAACCTCAAGGATGAGAGTCACACGCTGAAGCACAATTCAATGTCTTTCAGTAAAAGTAATACAAAATATTTGCCGACTAAATGGAGTGGCAGAAGACTGGCCGGCTTCGTCTACGTTCTTCATTTTACAAATTGCATTAAAGTTAATTTAGACTCCAAGTGTAAAAAAATCCTCCTACCTTTCAATCATTCAGATTTGATTTGTTAATTATATATTAAATAGAGAGTTAATATGAACAATCATATGTCATATATTTAACAAAATCTCCCAAATGTATAATAATGAAACTATCCAGATATAAACTCACACGCATAAAAATTATGCTAGCCGAATTGGATTTCGAATCTACAGAGACCTTACGTATTTTGACATGACTCTGAGGTTCCAAAAACAGACCCAGCGCTTATAATCACTCTCAGCCACACTCAAATACAGAGTATTTATTATAAGCACACATACATACTCATACATTCACGCATACTTAAGCTCTAATACGTCTTTTGTTTGATTAGTTGTAACACTTACTTCTTTTTCTTAATTGTTTTTAACTTGCACCATGTACCACGAAATAATTGTAATCAACAGCACAACACGGGTGTGGGGAATAATAGTAATAATAATAGCGTTAGATAAATTTTGGCACAACCATATTTCTGTCATGAATAAAGTTTTATTAGTATTAAATAACAAGTTACACTTACTTGGAGTATCCTTTAGGATGACAGGCCTGTAGTGCTGCCGGTCTTGCATCATCATCCAGCACCAGGGTGGTTCGAAGACCAGCAGCTCGTACCCTGACTTCCATGCTGAGATAAAACAGCCGAGGGTCTCTGTGCCTCATGCGGAACTTCCCCAGCAGCGTGGAGACCACTTCCTTGGCTGTGGTACCCCAGGTGACGGAGAGGGTTTTGTATTCGATGTCGGGGCGAAGACAACGCGCGTAGACTTTGATTGTGGTCTGAAATAGAGAAATACGTAAAAATAACTTAACTTTGTAACATATTTAGTAGATTTTTTTAGTCATGAGCTTTGGTTATTGTTTTTATTCATATATAAATTTTATATATTTATAAAAAATAGAATTATAATTATAATAAAAAGTATTTTTTATATTTAATATTAATGTTTCTATAAAATAATAAATACAAAGCCGGGAACTTTTCTTAGTTATGTACTTTGCGACAGTTGTGTCAACTCGGCTAACTTCCTGGATAGACGGGACGGAGAAACCACTAACCGCAAGATATCAATACAGCTTTAAAACACACCTACACTAAAATTAATTAAAAACAAAAGCTCTGGTCGTTGGCCTATGTTTGCTTTGAGTTTGTTTTTATAATTTTTAGTTTGTCATGACTGATAAACTACGGAAGAATTTTGGAAACGTCATCCAAGTTCGAAGTGGTTATATTTAATCCGTGTAGCAAGCAATCGCTTATATATATATACATAATCTTATGTAATTAATAAAAGCCGTTTTAATCATATTTCTGTAGTAAGATAACATTAAAAATTAAAAAATCCACTGATTTACGCAAAAAACTTAAAACAAATTTAAAAAAAAAGGATAAACGCGGAAATACAAACAGCTGGGATTTTTTTTTTAATTAAATAATTATTACGATTACAATGTTATATTTAAATACATTTAAGCAATAATTTATTATATGTTCATCTTAATTATTATAACCAGTTGCAGTAATAGTTAATATTTAATAAAAAAAACCTGTGTGTACACGCGTAAGAATTTTTACTTCTTTGTCGTACCTAACAAGATAATTTTTTTTTTCTTTTTTTTATCTTTCGCCTTATTTAAGTTCTACGTTAGTAGAAAAAACGACACTAACATAAAAAAACAATTTACTCTCATCATTTTTACCCTAGCGCGCCAAAAAAAGTATATCTTCAATAAATAATTGTTGATTAGACAATACGGCAAAAATAATAATTAAAGAATTGTTTATAGAAGACGAAAAACAGTGGAAACAACATAATTATTACTCAACGCAACAGAATGCAAAGATTGCAGAAAATCAGGTTCCCACGCGCGAAGGTCTGCGCTTGCGCATGTAACGCGAAACATTAAAAATTACACATTTATGTAAATATTACGTCCTCGAAATGTCAAACCGTTCCGAATTCCGAAGTTCACACGACGACCACAGGTTAAAAAGCTTTTTTAAACTTCACAGATTTCATGGCGTAAAAACAAAACATTCTAAATTCAAAATTTGACATTCAGGACCACCATAAACAAAGCTTGAACTATTTTTATTGCACTGAGGAGGTCGTATATGAACTTACATGTATATTGTTAGGATGAAACGCCAAACGCGTTCTAGGCGCTGGCACGGGCGCGGCCATGGTACGTGCGCGCTACGCGGTGTCTATTTCGAAACTGCAGGATTTACGGTAAGGGCCTATACGGAAATGGTAAGGGCTGGGGTATAGGGGCAACACCTGCCGTTTCCTATTACAGGAAACCCTACGCACTTGATAATCGCACGATAATATGCGTAATAAAAATTGATGATTTAATTTAAGACGCGATTTTTAAATGTAGCCGATTTGATATAATCGGTACTGAGAATTAGTCTATTGAAATTATTCTTGCTAAATTAATTCATGATCTGAAGTAGGTCCTCCTTTTAAACCTCGTCTCAAAGAGTCTACTAATGTAAAAACGTGTTGCAATTGTTTTAAAATTTATAATTTGTTAAAATTATTCTCTATATATGAGTATCACATTAATATATTATGTATATTTTTGCTTTGGGATTGAGCCTCCTAATTATTTCAATGCCTGAACAAGTGTGATACGGGCACATATAATAAAGATATTATGAATATTATAAATAGGAATAAATAAAAAACATATTAATAAATAAGAAACAGTTTTCGATATTTTTGTACGGGACAATCAAATATATTAAATTGGAAGAAAGAAAATAAATAAAAACAATAAAAAAGATGTATAGCTAAAGGAGAAAGCACTGGCCCCCCAAAGGATTCCCTGTGAACAGCTTGTCTGCCATTTGACCACGATTTTAGGTACTTGACAAATGAATCAGCCTCATTTAAAATACCTATTTCGGAAATTGCGTATAAACTAGAATTTCTCACAGTTCCAAATCTAATAATATTTTATAGGTTCGAAGGATGGTTATTACCTAATATCCGATATGAAATGGAGCTTCGATTTGTCATGGTCGATTAAGATACAAGGATTTTGTTAATTATTTTTGCGTTATTGGGAAATAGCGGCACCAAATTAATTATTACGGCCATCGAATATAAACTTTTTCTACATCTAAATGTAATCTAAAGCTTGCCAACGCTCGGCACTCTGATACATTGGTACAAGAAAAATAAAATAAAATATTTTATGTACTTATAGGAAAACATATACGTGAACACGAAGAGAAAAAAAATCGATTCATAAATTTTTAAAACTAAATTATTCTTTGATTTTTTTTATTTGGTGTATGTCAACAGTCATTATTTAGTTTTTTTACACATTTTACCACACACATTGTCTATGCTTGAAAACGAAATGCATTTTCGAGGATTCCTAGAAACATTGAAAACAATATTTTTCCCTTGAGATCGAAGTCTCTTTTTTGATATTTTCACAAAAACAACAAATTTCAAGAAGATAATCACAAAATCTCAGCAGCGGTTGACAGATCTCGTACTTTGATTTGACGGATGACAGCTGACATTTGACAATATGAAAATCAATTTTTTTATGTTTGTTTTATGCCATGAGATTCCGGTAGACCTATAGGAAACACTTCTCACCATACACGTTTGCTCCCGAAGTACTCTCTGTATTGGGAAGTTAGATTTAGTTATGTCCAAAAGGTTAGAAGTTAGGAATAACATTAGACGAATTATTTGATTTAAATCTCTAGAAAATATACAAAGATCAAGCAGATTGGCCACATTGACGATGCAAAAAAGGCAAACATCCCATAATCAAACTTAGTATGGTAATGAAGAAAGCGCCGGTAAAAGTGGTCATCATTCGTGAACTCGGTAGGAAATTGAAAAACACCGGACGGAGCTGGAATGCCGACAAAAACCCGGCCCTTCAAGGTCTTTAGAGATTTCCATACAATAACTAGAATGTAATGATTGTAATAATAATATATTTTAAGGAAAATATACTTTTTGCAGACAATTTTATGATAACTAAGCCGACTTAATAAGCCATGCGAAACAATTTTTTTGCGTAAAGTGCAAACGTTTCTCTGAATAATTAAATGTATATAAAATCTATTATCAAAAAAGGTTTTAAGTTAACTTCACTTCTAAAAAATATTTTTCTTTGAACAACGCCATCTAGTGTTTTATTATGTAACTAACTAAGCGTTACTATATTTCTTTGCGCGCCAGGTAAATTTTGGTAGGCAATATTTATGATTTAAATCATTTTTATTGCATATATGTAAATAAATAGAATTATCTGCAATTGACGGGTTACGTCTAACCAAACATAGCCTATCATAATTTCCTGTAAGTGCGGATAGATGGCGCTTTACTAAGTTATAAACTAATTTCTTTTCTAAATTATAGAATTGTTACAGATTATACAATCACAACTTAAATTATTTGTTAGTTAAGATAAAATTGACGCACGAATAACGATTTCTATGGATCACTCATAATTAAGGAAATCGGCCAAAGATCAGATTCATTAGTTAAGCATTTTCTAAGGTAAACCGATTTGCATAATATTCTGTAATAAGAGTATTATAACTTATCTTATTATAGAGGTTACAATTTTATAGTGTTATGGCAGAAACTGGAAAGCGGTTTTTAAAATAACCTAGAAACGCTGTGTGCGTTATATATGTCACCGTAAAATTGTAAACACCGTTAGATTGTAATCTATCTCGCGAGATTGTAAACTGTCGAAAGATTGTGAACCTCAACGAACTGCTTACAATTTAACGTATTATTATTCGGTAGATTATAATCTATCGAAGTGAAACCGTCAAATTGTGAAACGGATCGCACCTCGCGCGCTGATTGGTTGAACAGAATATTTTAATTCTAAAGCTGTGAGTTACTTTAAACACGACATCAACTTACATTCATCAAAACAATCAATTTACATTCGACAACAAACGAATTAACAAACAAATATGGTGGCGCGGGGCATATTCCGTTCAACCAATCAGCGCGCGAGGTGCGATCCGTTTCACAATTTGACGGTTTCACTTCGATAGATTACAATCTACCGAATAATAATACGTTAAATTGTAAGCAGTACGCTGAGGTTCACAATCTTTCGACAGTTTATAATCTCACGAGATAGATTACAATCTAACGGTGTTGTACAATTTTACGTTAACATATACATTATGTATGTTACTTAGGGGGGCATAAGAATTTTAGGTAGTCTTAGGTGGGGCATGGCACAAAAGAGGGTGGGAAACACTGATTTAGACAATATATTTCGAGTTTGATTGTGCACATAGGCCCTAACCGACTGAATAAAAATACGTACAAAGACATAATATCACAGTTATTTCGTATATTTTTTCTAAATAACAGGACGCCCTAAATTGGACGAATGAGGTGTGACGAGGAAGTTAGGAAACGGGATATTATGTCGACCTTTAGTAATCTTTTTATAGAAAAGAGTTAATTTGTGCATCCGGGAGAGCGATCTGTTCCCAATCATTTCATACATTTCCTATCTTTTCATCTTAATCGGAAATGACGTATGGACTTATTGATAGTTAGTGTTAATTACATTTGGAAAGCGGAAGCCAAGCAAACCTAGCGTCGAACAGTAGATGAGGCAAAGAGAGCCGGAAAGACATTGAGCGAGATGAAATAGAGGCTCAAGACTGAACGAAGAAGATCCACTTTGGACGCCCTCTACCCCATCTAGGGGTTAGACATTAAGTTAAGTAATTAAATACAAGATAAAGGTAAGGTTTAAATATTCAAGTATTAGTTTAAAACACAACGGAACAGTCTTGCAGTATTATTAATTTACAATTATTATATTTTTTTGTTTCTGTATTAGTTTTGTGTAAATAACTATATGTACTGTGTATTTTGCACTTCTTGCTTAGCTTATCTAATTTAATTTTTTTTATCAACAGTGGTTGCCTGGAAGATATCACTCGAAAGCGATAAGGCCGGCAGTTGCCCTCCTTTTCATTAAATTTTGTCATTTCATTTATTGTTGTATTATGTTATTGCAACAAAGTATTAATAAATAAATATTTTTAATTTATAGACAATTTTTTATGATACATCATACAAAAATACATGCAAACCTTAACTTTCATCTACCCTCTACGATCAACCCCTATTTTTTATTATAGTAGATAGTTATTTTTATTGAACTAAAAATTGTTTCCTAGAAATAATATATGTACATACATGTACATGTCAAAACGACGTTTGCCGGGTCAGCTAGTATAACATATATTTATATGTATCTATTTGTCTTCCTTGTAACAAGTATTATGTTTGAGAGCAAAAATAAAATCAATCAATAAGTCAATCAAATCAAAATCAAGAGTGGCTTATAGTTAAATCAGTAATATTACCGGATTTAATAATCATTACTGGCAAGTACAATTGGTAATTGTCTATAATATATTTTTGTTTTATTACCACCAGTCCTTGAAAAACAAATGTTTTAACACTTAACATCAAACGCATACCCACTTGTTATTACAGATGCTTCAAAACTATAAAAAAGTAAACGTTATTCCTTCTAAAAGGTCCTAAGTACAGCTTTTAAATCAGTAAATTTATATTAAAACCGTTAATGATAATTTAAGTTACAGTTAGGTATAATTATAAGACTACAAAAACGCAAATTAGTTTTCTGTAAATGTATCGCATTAATATTTATTGAATAGGATTTCGAATCTAAAGCAGCTTTACGTATTTTGGCATGACTCTGATGTTCCAAAAACTAACACAGACACAGCGCTTATACAGATACCGGCAAACTTCTTGAACATTAAACAAGGGTACACAAACGTCAATTGATTTACTAAGCACGCGATCGACACGTCACACTCCCGCCGCAGCGCAACACCGCCCCCCTCCCAGTGATACCTAAAAATAGCTTCTGCGCAGGCAAGGACATTTGTTCAAGATGTTTGCCGGTATCTGTACCCACAACACAGGGTGCTAGTGTGGGGACTAGCGTTAGATCAATTTTGTCACAATTGTATTTATTATAATTTTGTTTTACAAGCCTAATTTAGTTAACATTTTAATATAAACCAGCTCTGTCTAAATCAGCTCCTTTTTAAGAAATAATCTAATAACAGTATTTTTTCATCGTACTGTAAACACAATTTGCCAGAAAGAGACAAAAGTCTTAATAGACGACATTTTTACGCAGCTGACCATTTTTAATCTGGATAAATTACAACCTAGATAAAGAAACTATTACAGTAATGGTATATGAAAGGTAGTTTGATGTTCAGCTGTTGCCTCACCTGGCTTCTATTTTTATCGAGATGTTTACACTTTCTTGTGGGATAATGCAGTGCAATATTTTTTCAGCAAAATCAAAGCAAGGAATCTAGTGAGTTGATGAGAATCCCAAGATTCCTGAAAATGTACTGGGACAGCGCTGACTGTCGTAAACTATAACTAATAAATTAGGAATAACTTTATTTATTTATTACCTATCTTTACCTTATCCACAAACATATATGAATATAAAAAAACAGTTACATAATTTATTATGCAAAGGGCGGCGTAATACAAAAAGCGGTTTCTTCCACCCTAGTATGAAAAAATAAAAAAAATAAACACGTACAGAGGGTAAAGTACAAGAAGTGCATAAATAATTAACAAAAAATAACATGAAACACTACCTATAACAAAAATAAAGAAAAATAAAATAATAATATGTAAAAACAAAAATTTAAAAGCTAATCCAATGGTAAATTGAGTCACAATTATAAATAGCTAATTACGAGGCAGAAGAAAAATGATCAAAATTTTTTTTTTAATAAGTTTATAGACTGAGCTCGTCTGATATCAAGTGGTAAGAAGTTCCATAGCAGGATACTTTGCTCAGTAAAGGAGGAGTGATAGAATTCAGTTTTATGAGTAGGAGTTTCAAGAATAAGATTATCAAGGGAACGCAAATCAAAACTTAATAAGTGTACAAAACAATTCGAAGAAATAAATACATTCATCTTCAGTAGGACATTTATTAACCCTTACACCTTAATCTACTACAGATTATACTCAAGCATTTAAAAATAGAATCAGAAAAACGCGGCAAAAAAACTCATACAGACGCGCACGTGCTCAAGTTGCCAGGTGGACAGGATACAGGGACGTTTCAAGAGATTGTCTATGATTATCTTTTATGCCAGTAGTAAAAAGTTATGGGTTGCTAGTAATAATAAACAACAGGTTTTGGGTCTACGTCATGTTTTGTTCTTAGAAAACTACCGCCCGGGTTCTTTATTCAAACCCAAAGGGTGAGAGAACAAACAAGTCGATATTATGGCGTGTTCCGTTTGTTTGTTATTGGTCAAAAGATGGATAGTTTCGCGTGTCTGTGATTGCGAGATGTATTGACCAATCACAATCAAACGAGTTACATTATTTATTAACATTATTAACAATTTTTCTCCTTAGTAGAAATCCGTAGAAATTCTTATGTCAAATATCGTTAATATGTCAAATGGAAGAGACTGTCCTTGACACGGTATCCTAGAGTGGGGGTTATCGGATCAGAAAAAAATGTCAAAGTTAAGTTTTATTATTACGCTTTAATAATGATTATACATATAGAAATTATACTACCGGATCCGACAGACGTTGTCCTGTCCACGTCATACATACAAAAAAATCTAATGTAAATCATTCTCGACTCCACTAAAGAACTCCCAAAAAATTTCATCAAAATTTGTCCAGCCGCTTAGGAGTGTAATTACTAACACATGCACAGAAGATTTATATATGTACCAGCTGTTTACTTGCAGTATAGATAAATAATCTAGATACTGACTGCATCGCATTTTGCCGTATTAATTTGTGAATCTAAACCATCCAGGGCGCCACCCAAACGCATACAAAAAAATCATCCAAATCGGTCCAGCCGTTTAACAGGAGTTCAGTGATATACACACGTACAGTAGAATTATGCTCGTATATATAAAGATTAGTAATATGTCAATTTTTATGTTGTTGACACATTATGTAAGAGTAATAAATATAATTATGGTTACGCCACTAACTAGGGCGGTGTCAGGTTATTTATTAACTTTTAACTGAATTTATGAAGCGACTGTCGTAACAAGTATAAGAAATAAATCGCTTGATTTCTATAAATAACTAGCTGGCCTGGCGAACATCGTACCGCCTAACAGTCGATTCTTTATTTTTTTTAAATACTTATTCTGCTATTCGGGTCACCGGTCTAGCTAGTAGGATAAAAAAAAGAAAGTTGATAAGACAACAAATACATTATGTCAAAAATAAAAATTTACCTTCCCGGAACCCCTCCACTAACACTTGAACTTTATGATATGGTATTAAAGTTCAAATTGACTTTTAAGTATTATTACGAATATTATGTATGGGAATATAGAAAAGTGTTGTTTTTAGACTTTTTCACTCAATTTTTCTAATTTTTCTCTCTGTAAGAACCATCCTCCTACTTCAAGGAGTATTATACAAAAAGAATTGGCCAAATTGGTCCAGGCGTTGTTGAGTTATGCGCTTACCAACACATTTTGCGATTCATTTTTATATATAGATACCTGGTATCGCATTGCTGGGAATCTTGTTAAACTTTGAAAATGTAGCCATTTTTTATGTGTACAATAGTTTTTGAGATATAAATGAACTTGTACCTTGCAAGGTTGGAACATCAGCGCTACAAAGAACTTTATCTTGCATACAATTGTCGGGAATGGGTCTTAATAATTAGAACGATCCAATTATAATAACTGATTAGTTCTTGTCTCAAACTCATGATAGAATCCATAATTTAAGAGTTTTTTATAAAAGTTCTTGCTTTTGTAATGGCGAAAATGTCCTGGTCGCATCGGAATCTGTTGTCTTACTTTGCTTATCTGCGTAGACACTTGTATACAGATATACTACTAAAAGAGAATCGGCCTGCTATTAAAAATTCAAGGGCAGCAATTGAATTTAATTAAAGACTTTGATGGTCATTTTTTTATAGGCTCACCTGATGTTCAGTGGCAATGGGCTCGTAAGTGCTTTGCCGGCTCTTTAAGACTTGGTACGCTCTTTTCTTGAAGGACTCTAACTCGAATTTGTTCGGAAATACGGGCTTCTGGTTCCACATAGCGCGCGCGAAACTGCCTTAAGAAACGCTCAGTTTTGAAACGACGGACGTCGAGGTGATACGGATGGTATTTTATACATAACTCTACACAAACAGATCAGTCCGTATCTGTATATTTAAACGAACAAATTCCTTTTGTATTTAAAACTGGCCGCCAATTAACAGAAAATCCCATGTGGTTTGTCTTGACCTGAAAGGCAAAACATATGCAAACCGCATTTCGCACGTGTAGTTGTTAACTTTGCGTCTTTGAGTTCGTTAAATGGAGTGAAAACTAAAGAGAAACACGGTGACTGCTATACCCTTATGATCGCGTTGTTATTAACGGTAAGATTTGGAGTTCAGAGTTATATTTACAACAAATTTTAGAAATGTTCTTATAATTTTGTTCAACATTGTTTGAAGTTTGTCTCTGGTTAAGTTATACTCTCGGGTCCGGTGTGCCTTACCAATAGTCTGATGAAAGTTTGTGTGAGGTGTTTTAGTTATTTTTAACGTATTTTGATCAACGCAATCGCCACCTGCCACACAACAGTTTGGCATTGTTGATTCCTAATGCTAAGAGCTTAATTCATTGGCACTTCTAAGAGATTTGGACTTAGATTTCTGTTTTGTTTCTATTTTAACAGGAAACTATACTACATAACCACGGTTTGGTCTATTGTTTATTTCATCTAAGGTATAATGACTCCTATATGGGGTAGAGGGCAACTAGAGTGCAGTAAGATTGATCTTTTGAAATTCGCAGATTTCGTCTTTGTGTTTTTACTGTACTATTATATTTTCTTTTTAACTCTACAGTCAAAACCGTTTACGACGACATCGTTTAGAACAACACACCGGTTATATTGACCAAAATCAAAGGTCCCGGCTGAATTCTATTGTATTAGGTTCTTAATAACAACGTCATCGGCTGATACGACTATCGGTTTTTACGACCAAATAGTCCCTTCGACTGTAGTTATATTCGACCCGGGCTGTCTAAGTACCTTTAATAGACACAATAAATAATAATAATTCAGAACAATCAGCCATATAAAAATAGACATGCAAATGTCATATTAATTATCATAATAATTACAATTAAGTTATAATTGATGTTAAAACTTATGGTATAAATACTACCCCACTATAAAGGCGTCTTGCATTTAAAAATTTAATCACCTTCCCTTTGAAAGCATTACACGATTAAGTGAAACAAAGTTTATCCCGACAATTTTAATTCCTACTGATAATTGGGTGACAAAGAATGTTTGTTAAAATTAACAACGCTAAAGGCGCCTCCGATATCATTCCAGGAATATCGATTGTGGGATCAAAGCGGCCGCTTATGACATGTCATTATGAACTTGACTTTAGATACAACATATTTTAGAGTTTCTATATATATACTCGTAAAATTCTCGTGTCAAATTGTTTCCTAGGAATACATGGCAAAACAAACGTTTGCCGGGTCAGCTATATTTTTTATAATAATGCATTATATTAAAAATATAGATCCCATTAATCCTATTTAGCAGTACCTGGGTCGGCAGAGTGGATTAGCTGCAGCTGAAAGTCAGCAATTGGCATAGGACACAAGCTTTTAGTTTCGGAGGCCATGGCATGGGTTATGGGATTCTCTACTCTGCACTTAACATGGCACCACCAGCAATCGTAGACACCGTAATGTAGCCTCGCCGCATCTCGAGCGATCAGCCATTCATATCTTAGCACAGCAAAGATATCATGGTTTTTAGAGCTGGGGGAAGTTGGATCCATTGCTTGCTAGAATGGGTTATCATCACAACGATGTGGCGTGTTAATGTCACTAGAGATGTTAGCCACACAGAATCAAACGGAACACGCCATGATTCCTTTTGCACTTTCTCACCCCCACAGCCACCAATACTTACTAAAATCAGTGATTACCTTTACAAGTGAGTGTCTTCGGGACAAAATCAAAACTCTTGTCTGTTTAATGATATCGCTTATCAGTTAATTGCATTTGTCTTGTTTTAATTAAATCTTCGCATTCAGTATCGCTTCTAAGATGGATGAAAACGTATTGATAATTACAATACAGATTCTTTTATTCTGTAAGTCATTTTTATTGTTCGAATGAATAGAGTTCAGTAGTCAGTAAGAGCAGTGTTGGCCTTGGCTTCAGCAAGCGACTCTCATCGTTGAGGTCGTAAGATCAATCCCCGGCTACGATCTACGTGCGCATTAACATTCGCTCGAACGGTGAAGGAAAACATCATGAGGACATCGGCTTCCTTGGGCCTACAAAGTCGACGGCGTGTGTCAGGCACAGGAGGCTGATTATCTAATTGTTTTTTAGATTTACAAATGATCATGAAACAGATACAGAAATCTTAGACCTGAAAAGGTTGTAGTGCCGCTAATTTAATTTTTTTAAATATAAATGTTTTCGTATAAGTTTTAAATTTTGTAACAGATATGTATGAAGATTCTATAACCATAAATACGTATTTATCATTGTATTTTTTATTTTATAGTCTCTTCCGAACGTTTGCTCAGTGAGAAGCTCCCGATCTCTATTTTATATGCTAGAAGGTGACAAATTATTATTAAATGTTCCAGTATCCTCTATACACGGTCAAGGTAAGAAGATAGAGACAACAACCAAAAAGTCAGCAAACTTCCCTCGTCTCACAAACAGTTCTCATGAGGAGGACAAGCCTGTGTTCGTCTTCGAAGGTGTCAACTATGATGAGCTGCCTCCACACTTGAAAGAAATTCACAAAGACTGCTATGCTGATTACATACGTTGCTCAAGATCTATGTAAGTGCCGTGTCAATCAAGTCATGAAAAAAAATAATCGACACTAAGTTCAGTGTATCCTAACAAGGATCGTCATGCTCTTCGGTCGGATCGGATCGGCTGGCTTCATCAGCGACGTGATGCTCACGTTCTCTATCTCTTATATTCCTATTCAGTCCTAAAACTCCTTCTTATCTCAAAAATAATTTTAATTCTTTAGACGCTCTACCGAAAACATTGCCAGAGGGCTCGCAAGTGCATTGCCGGCTTTTGAAGAATTTTCTTGAAGTACCCTTGAAATCGTAATCTAAGTTAATATATAATACTATAATACATCTAAAGTTTTGTATATATGTTGTTCTCAGGACCCAACACCATCAAGTTTGCTCGTACAGCCTTGACTATTACTACATTGAAGCATATCATAGCATTTGTGAGATGATGTATACTAACTGTCAGCGGGAGAATAAAGAACACAGTAAGTTATAAAACGTAGAAGCTGTCCCAAGTGTTTCCGAACCAGTTTGAGTTAGGTTCCTTCGTCCGCCTTCTGAGTGTGCTTTCTGGGTAGTGTGAGTTTCCATTGGCTTATCACTTATCAGGTACGGCTTCTGCCCGTTTGCTCCCTGTTATATATAAAAAATTCTTCTTCGCTTCGCTTGCCCCATATGATAAAAATACTAGCTGACCCAGCAAGCGTTGTTTTGCCATGTATATTATTTTTAGGAAAATTTTTTTAGTTCAATAAAACTATTTACTATTATAAAAATAGGGGTTTATGGTAGAGGGGTGAAAATTAAGGGTTGTATGTATTTTTTAATGCCACGTATTTAAAAAAAAGTTATCCATAAAATAAATTTTACACCCCTTATACTTAGATAGTTGAAAGATAGATAGTATTTGTTTCTAAGACTTACTGAATATGCATAAAAAATTTCATAAGAATCCGTCGTGCCATTTCGGAGGAGTATAGGAACGACCATTGTGACACGAGAATTTTATATATTAGTTATAAAGATATACAAATTTCATATGTACGTCTGGTTTTGATTCCACTAGAACCACCTGCCCATTGAAGTATTTCTTTTCTTCAGTAAAAGAGCGTAATAATACTTAAAAGGCCGGCAACGCACTCCCGATTCCTCTGGCATTGGGTCTCCGTTTGCATATCACCATCATATCGTGGCGGTATCACTTAACATCAGGCCTGTTCTATGAAAAAATCTATACTCCTATTCTCAAGTCAAGACTGGATTGAATTTTTTTTTTCAGCGATATTTTATTACATAGCTGATGGGTATACGTGTCAACATTGGACCCGGCGTATGAAGCGACCCAAAAATATTTTTTCAAAACTTGCCTCAAAAGTCAAACAAGTTGCGACGAAGACTAAAACGTTCACAAAGAACCTTTTTAAAAAGATTGGGAAAGTATTTAAAGGAAAATAAATATTCAATTTAAATTCATTAATTTCTTTTTACATGTAAGTTTTCCTCAATATTATAATAATGAGTGTCATCAAATGTAATGAAGTCAAAATCATTTATTCATATAGGTAACGCAATGTACTCTTATGAACGTCAAAATATATGCTACTAATTTTACATTTACTGCCAGTTCTCAAATCAAGGGCGTAGAATGGAAGAGAAGAACTGGCAATAAACTCTCCGCCACACTTTTTAATCGCCAAGTTTTTTGTTTTGCACAACGTTTGTAAGGAGCTGCAACCATCACAAGATGTTCCACATGATTTCTTACGTAATAAATAATAATAAAATAAATTAAAAACAAAGATTTGTGTTAGCTTACTGGCGTGCGACTCTCATCACTGGGGTACAATCCCTAGCTGTGCACCAATGGACTTTTAACACTCGCTATTACGGTGATTGAAAACATTGTGAGGAAACCTTAGACCCAAAAAAAACAGAAGGATTACCTACTTGCCTATTAAAAATTATCACGGAACAGATACAAAAATCTGATGACCTAAAGGATTGTAGCGGCATGGTTAACATAATAATGATTAAAATTAGATTAAAGCATGTTGTACATTAAAATGTTAATTTCTAGTTTATTTCCTACACATTTACAATAATTTCATGTCATTTTATTTAGAATAATAAAACAATTTGTAAGGAATTTTATACGCTAGCGCCATTGCAGAAGGCGGATTTGAAAGTATGGCAAGGTCGTATGTGACGTGAATTTTTTGGTAAATACACAAGGAAATCCGTAATGTCTTAATTTCTATCTAACTTTTGTGCTTGAATATGGAAAACGAATACAATAAAATAATCGAGCAATTTCAATTCTTTCACCATTTGAATGTTACATTACGCCCGAGTACAAGCCCATATTTATATTAATAATCATGAAACAGATTCAGAAATCTGAGACCCAGACCTAAAAGAGGTTGTAGCGCCACTGATTTATTTTATTTTAAAAAGGCACACACACATACATAGACATACACGAATGTGCATCAATGACAAGTGTGCATAACATTTAAAAGGAAACATTACAACGGTAAAAGAGAAAAGAAATTATCAATTAAAAACAAAAGACAATAAACTAGATTAAGGAATACAAATATGCAATTGAATATATTTTTACTTTGCAATTGTTATTGCAGTGGCTGCAGCATCTTATGACTAAAGTCATAGAAACTAAATAAATAGATCTGCTTAGCATTTTATATCGTAATGTATGTGCAATTACATTTTTAACCTTTAGTTATGTATTATATTTCCTACGTAGCTGACAATATTGCAAATACCAAGTCAACAGCATTGTATTGACTAGACAATGGTAAGTGTGGAAAAAACATTTTATTCCTATAGAAATATTATGATGAATTATAGTCTTGCGGGGCTGGTGAGCAACCCAAGTGTTCTTCAAGACCTCGGTTTCTTTGTACCTTGTGATATATGGAAGGGCGAAGGCCTATTTTGTTTGAAGAACCAGTCTGTTCCACAGATTCTCCTCAACAAAGACGTTGCGCCTGCTGTCTCAGACACTATCATCATCTTTATATGTTCACAGAGTGAGTTTACAGAAGCGATATTATGTATATAATATTATGTTATTTTATTATATATTTTTGTGAATAAATAAATATCATCTACATATAATATAGTATCTCCAAGTCACAATCTCGACATTTAAGTAGGTCAAATTTCATATAATATTATATTTGAATTGGGATATCAAACTATATATATATACAAACATGCCTATAGTATAATTGAAAAGAGGTTTAATACAACAAATTTTAAGTTTGGTATACGTATATATATACAATTAACGTAATAACTAAAATATATTATTAAAAGGAGTCCCTTTAGGCAAGGTTCCGAAGATACTGGCAGCGTTCCCCCTTTGAATAGCTAGACTGAATCTTTGTCCGAGGTAACTGCCAGCTCTTCGGCCTCGTTTCATATTGAAACAGCTCTTGAAACTAGATTTAAGTTTGAGGGCTTAGAATATGGCCTAAGTGTTTTATAATTATCTCAGAAATTACAACTATAGTCAAAATCGGAACAAAACAATTTAAAAATAAATAGTGAGACCGAAAACAATGACATGTGGATATCCGGGCGCCACATTGTGACTTCCTGTTCAGATGGAAACACTCATTGATCTAAATTGACCACAGAATATAGGGCCCATGCCCTTTGGTTGGGTACATACTGTGACCAGCGGGATGCGTAATATATCGATAAACATTTTTGTTTTAATTAATAATATTGATCATTCTAAATTTGAATTATGTAAAACATCGTTTTATACTTATACTATTAATTGTATTACATTTCAGTAATTAAAAAAACAAAAAATAAACATTGTATTATCTTTGTTATGGAAGTGCTGGGAAGCCTAACACAGGTATTTTTTTACTTAAAACCCCTTAAACCTTATTTTTATTCTATATACATTGTATTTATATTTTATTGATTAATTCTTATACTTGTACTTCATAACATTCGCACTGTAACACTATGGCTCCATACTTATTAAATGACATTTGAAATAGGATCTTAAATCAATAGAACAAGGTTCATTTCTACATCTTTATAACTAAACGACGCATATGTTACGACTAGAGCGCTTACAAAAAAGATGTGGTATCCACTTTTGTCCAGAGGCATCTCAAGAAGTTGCCAACAGACGAAACCAGGCTAGTGCACTTTTAGTTGTTATCATTGGAGAATCGTAGAAAATTAATTGATGTATCGTTTGCAATACTTAACAATCGGGTTGATTGCCCCAACCTTTTAGCTAAATTTAAATTTCGGGTACTCTAGATACCCCAGACATCCTATCATTCTATTAGTCCCAGATCCTTTCCGTAGAATGCGTTTTGATCAAAGCTCACTGATGTCCAGATTGAGCATTCTGATCAACGAGCTAGGTCTGGATATATAGTTGCTCCCTTCACACTTTAAAGTTGATATTCGTTTAGTTTTTATAATTTTCTTGGTGTATGTTATGTTTGTCTATATATGCTTGTCACATTAAAACTGTATTTTATTTTTATGCCGAGCGTTGGCAAGCTTTTATAAATAAGTGAACTAAACTATAAACGCAATAGTTTTTTTTGTAATTCGTGTAACAAAAAAATCTCAAGATACCAACACCGGACAAACAGCATTGAACGGAAAATAGCTTAAACAATCATGTATAGTGTAATTAAAGTGACTTAATCGTAGTGAAAGTTATACAGGAAGGTATTCATCAAGAGAAAAATTAACTGGATCAGGATATTGAGAACATAATTATAAGCACAGTAAAATCACCTTTTACTTTTTGTCTCATTACGCCGGATGTCGTATTCATTGATAATCTCACACTCTTGGAATTAATGTCACTTGATTATCAAATTGTAGTTCTTATTTATCACGTGTTCAAATCAAATATTTAATCTTAAAAAAAAATACTATCAAGATCATCAAGATACACAAACCAATTCTTTAAGTAAATTTTTATTGGAGTAAGAGAATCCGCTGGCACAGACCTGTAGGTTCAGCCTTCGAATCTATCTAGTCAATATATTCTTGTAGCCTTGTTGTATGTACAAAAAAATATAAGCGATTTTAAAACTAACGGTGACTTTTACCTGTATAATACTCGAAAGAGAACTAAACTAAGCGTACGACCAGCCAGGCTCCAGAAGATAAACCACTTATAACCTTATATGGAAATTTTATTCGTTTTTACAACAAACTCCCAAACGTAATTAGAGAATTATCACTGAATAAATTCAAAACTCTCGTTAAACGTAAATTAACCAATAAAGCTTTTTATAAATTTGACGATTATTCAAATGATCCTAATCCTTGGGATTAATTTGCTCCAGTTCAAACAATTTGTATGACTCAAAACTTAGCGATTAAAAAGAGTGGCGGAAGAGTTTTTTGCCAGTTCTTCTTGCCCGCTCTACGCCCTTGACTTGCGAACTGATAGTAAATTTAGAATCAATTTTATATCTTTTCTGTAGACGTTCATAAGTGTACTAGCTATATGAATAAAGTTGAATCTAGAGAACGCTGCCGTTCCCGCTTGCCAATCGGGCACTTGGAGCTTATCCAGCGAAATCGGTATACCAGACAAATATTTAATAAGCATAAAATATAGTTATCGTAGCAGTTATGACACGCTTTTTTTCGAGACAAATATTTAATAAGTATAAAAAAAGTTATCGTAAAATATATCGACCTCTCCCATCCCTAGTTTTACTTTCACAGTCAAACGAAGCCGAGGGTCGGAGTTTATCAATATTGCGTTGATGCGACCATGAGTGACACAAGTGTCGTAATTACGGTTATATTGTATTTATAGAAATATTCGCAGAAACATAACAACTACTCCCTATAATTGCGTACCTATGACGTACTCAGAGACGTTCCTTAAGAGTTAGGCCGTTTCTCCACTGCTCCGGTCCGGCAAACGTTAATTACCGATCCGATTTAGAAACTCACAACAGTACTTACGTGCTTCTCCACTACTCCGTCATCCGGTTTTTAACGATCCGATAACTTGCTCGATCGGAACGCGGTGTATTATCGGTCCAAGTATATCCAAGAGGTTATAAATTATTATTCATAGGTTTATTTATAGTTTCTTTAATTTGAAAGAATCTGGATAACCTGGACCAAACCAAATTATGTTGCTATTTATTTCTATTTTTATACCATAGTATTAGTGAACTATTTATTAAGTAGATTATAATATTTCAAGATAGACAATATAAAAAAGTAATAAACTTGCCAAGGCAATAAAATATTCAGAATTTAGAACGTTTTATTAATAAAGTAAAGTAGGTATATGGGTTTTAGTTAATATAAGTGTTGCATGATAAATATACAAGTATCGATTATTATCGGATCGGATATAGTGGAGAAGCGTAGTCCGGCCTTCCGATATTTTTCTCATGACTCATTCCGGTATC